TAGATGCTAGTAGGCTTGCTGATTTATACTCCCCCTGTTCCACTTTCAGTTGAGGTTCAGTTTACGTCAACAGTGTATAGTGGAGCAGAACAGGATGGTGTATCTGAAGTGTGCATCACCAGGGGTGGTGACAACCAGACACAATTTACTGTTAGGCTCTCAGCGACTGGTGTAACTGCAACAGGTAAAGATATGAAACCCATACATGTAATTATGGTAATAGTTCTCTCTCGCCCTTCAGAAGGAGAGGACTACAGTGTGGCTCTACCATCAGATATTAATGCTAGTGACTTCAATGGAACAGCTGTGTGCTATGAAATTACTCTAGAGACAGATAATATTTTAGAGGGAAATGAGACCATTCGACTGGGACTGTCAACAACTGAATCAACTGAATCGTTTGTTGCTATCACTCAACCCACAGCAACGTTCACTATCTTAGACTCGGTTAGCAATTCCCCTCTTCATTTGTGTCAATTATCAATGCTTAATGCAGACTCAACCAAAACCCGGAGTCATAGTCAACACCGTAGAGGAAGTGCAAAGCATTGTTTCGAGTGGAAACCAAACGGAGGCAAACTTGCAGAGAGTCAGCATGCAACTGAACAGGATTGCTGAGGCCATTGAAACGAACCAAAACGACACAGTCATGGAAACAGTGAGTTGCCAAACTTCAAGTTCTTACAATATCTTTTATGTGTCCGCATGATACAGACCCTGGACTTAGTTTTCGCTGCTGTGGGCGAGCTCTCAGAGGAGTGGTCCGAAGAAGTGCTGCAGAGCTCTCAAAACTCTTCCCTAATGTAAGACTGAGTTAATCCCTGCAATCCAGATCAATAAACAAAAATTTTCCCAGGATCTTGGAAGTAGTTGAAAGGATTGGGAGCTCGCTTCTTGCTCAGCTCAACGGGTCAGAAGAAATAACTTCGTGTCAAGATGGTCTTTTCCTTTTAGCCAGGAGGGTATGTAGCCTGCAGATTATGTTCACCTGCTGTTATTGATGTTATATTCACAGGTTGACTCGAGTGATGTGACTGATCTCAATATAAACTCAGGTTCTACGTGTACAATGAATGTTCCAGACAGTAGCATGGCAAGTGTTTCAGTTCCCATGACCCTCTTTGGGGAAAGTGAAGACATCAGCATCCTTCTGTCACTCTTCAACTCCCCGTCCCTCTTCCGAGACATGTCTTCAAACAACTTGACTGTCAACACGACAGTAATTGGAATATCCATCAACAATTTTACCCAGCTCTCAGATAACATCACCCTACATTTCCAACTGCAGAGAAGTGTGAGTTTATCTTTAATTTCTCCGAAAATATGTTCAGTTTTCATTGACTTTTTTGCAGTCCAATGAGATTCAGTGTGTCTTCTTTGATTGTGAGTTTGTGAGATACCATTAAAACAGTGGTGATTAGTACTCTTAATTTTTTTAATAGTTACTATGAGTCGGTGGTCACCAGATGGCTGCATTACAACAGTGAATCAGACAGGAGTTGTCACCTGTTTTTGTGATCACCTGACAAACTTTGCTGTGCAGACTGTAAGCTAAGATATAATCCATACGATGCTTAATCTATATAAGTTTCCCATTTTTCACACAGAGTGTAGAAGACTTGGACTGTGGGGAGCATACGAGGGATGGGTTTATTTGCGTGTGTAACGAAGGATATGAGCTTCAATCTGATGGAAAAACCTGTTCAGGTGTGCCGAACTTGTACACTACACTTCCCCCATATATAGTGGGTGCTCCTTTAATCTCATACAGATGTTGATGAGTGTGAAACTCGCTGTCAGCATGATGATGCAACCTGTACAAATCTGGTGGGCAGTTTCAACTGCTCGTGTAATGTTGGATTCACAAAAGATCTGACTGCTCCCGGAAATGAAATCAGTTGTGTTGGTAAGGTTAATTATTGTGGGGGTTGTAAGGATTTAAAACATTATTTTCCCATTATTAAACAGATATTGATGAGTGTTCTGATGGTACACACGAATGCCATGATAATGCCATCTGTACGAATGTGATTGGAAGTTACAGTTGCTGCTTGTAAAACAGGTTACACTGGAGATGGCAGAGTGTGTGGGGGTAAGATAAGCAAGTCACTTGTTTTAACAACATCGTCATTGGTTTGTCTTCTTTCACAGATATTAATGAGTGCGAAGAAGACACTCCATTGGTGTGTGACAATATGGCAAACTGTACAAATTCTCCTGGCTCATTTGAATGCACTTGCATTCTTGGCTTTACTGGCTCTGGCTTGCCTGATAATTGCATGGGTAAGATGACGAAATATACGCCGTGTATGTTGGAATCAAAATTAAATATCTTTGTTTAGGTATCCCACCGCAGCTGGACATATTAAACATGGGAATAACGATGATTCTCTCGTCGTGGAACCTGGCCGGTCATTGAATCTAACATGTCAATCAGAGGGAGAGCATGCTGGTAATGTAAAGTGGACCAAACAAGGTAGAGTCTAAGAAAAAGCCAATCTTTGAAGCATGTCACTACACTCCCTACTACAGATGGGAGTCAAGTCTCCCTTGAGGAATCCGAGAGTGGTGTTCCTTATGGAGATATGCTCATCACTCTGAGTGACAGGTCTTGGCTTCTCCAGACAAAGTCTGGTAGTGGGTATGCGTGGGATAGCAAGCGGAACATTCGACTACATCTGTACTGCGACCAACAACAATGAAGATGCTTCCGCTTCTATACAAGTTACTCTTGAAATACAAGGTTCCTTGAAAAACTTTTATCGTAAAAATTTGCATTAGTTTCTCTGTCTTGCACACATATTAGCTCTGGAAGATCCTACTGTATCGAGTTATGTTCGATTTTCAATCAATGGCAGTTTGGAGCCCATGCCGTCTAATGTGCTCATCAACAGTGTGGTAAGTAAAACAACAGTCTTTGTGGTGTACTACAAACTACATTTTACGCAATTTCCTTCCGTATTTAGGCTTTGTCATCAATAGATGTGGAAAAAGAAGGCTATCAAGAATTCAATTGCAGCAGGTATCAATGAATATCTAATGAGCTAACATTCATCTGGTATAACTACTCTAGACTTGAAAGTGAGGCAAGAAGAATTGAATGTCTATTCAATAACTACAACAGCGGCCAATCGCTGGACTCTGCTAAATTGAAGGAAGTTCTAGTGAATGAAGGTATCATTTCACCCAGCGAAATCATCATTGAAGCAGGTGAGCACTGTGCGTAGCTGTATCACATATAGCAGCTGGTATATGCCAATCCCAGACAACGGGTTCTGCGATACCAATTCCACAACTAACGAGGAGTTTGGAAATTACACATGGCCGGAAACCCATGTCGGAGACACAAGTCAAGTACAATGTGCCTTTGGACCACCTAACACGGATGCCCAACGAGACTGTTTGTCTCGGGAGGGAAGACAGTGGAGTGACGTCAGAGACTATAGTGATTGCTACACCATGATCACAATGATGTATCAAGTATTCGAAGTGGTGAGTATGATAATTAACTCTCATCTAAGATTTGTTAAAAATTGCTCGTGTATCTGCAGGAGAATGTAGCGGAGGAAAATGTTGTTGTAATGTTGGAGCAATTTGCAGCACTGGTGAATATGACAGATGACACCATTGACCAATCTCGCAGAAACTTTGAAGTGATTACAAATGTACTCAACGCCACCAGTAGCATTGTCAACAATGCTGCCCTCAATGATACAGATCTGAGACAGGTACATATGTATAAAAGTAGTGAGGTGACTTTTGTGGCATTTGATTAACACCACGTGGTAATTCTTTCAAGATTGTTGAGTTGGTGTCAAATATAATAGATGATCTACAAATCTGGGAGGAAGACGAAATTCAGATGACAAATAACATAAAGTACGCTTTGCTAAGCTGAGAGGGATGGGGAAACCCTACTTATTCTATTTTTTACCTGTTTAGTGTGGTGGAAGTGTTAGAAAATGTGGCAAATTCTCTGGCCGTAAATGAAGGGATTGGAACCGAAGAAAACGTTACAGTTTTACTTTTTGAGGGCGATACATCTGCCCTACTTGTGGAAAGAGTAAGTGTTGACTTTTAACACAACTGATATGTGACGACCTCCTGTTTCTGCTGTCTCTAAAAGAACAACATAGAGCAGCTCCAAACAAGTGGAAGAGAGTTTGGTGCCACAAGAGATGACAAAGGTAAAAATTATGATGTTCTGTGAGGCTAACATTCAGAAAATCCCACCATGTAGGCATTACCACAATGTCGAGGGTGACTGGTGGTGTCCTGGCGTCAATTCAGCTCCCAGATAGCTTGTTTAGCAATGACAGAGTCACTAACAATTCTGTTGGTGGTGGGGTTGGATTGGTGTTTTCTTTCTTCGAGACCCCTGTCCTCTTTCCTCTGGCCAATGGGACTCGTGGCGACCTACAGATTCGTACTTCAGTCATTGGCGCACTGATTGGTGGTATACCTACCATATCAGACCTTCTGGACCCAATTATAATCACCTTTCAGCTGGAAATCGACACAGTGAGTTGTGTTTAAGAAATGAAGTTCAGAAAACTTACTGCAAACACTTTAGGAGGATGAAGTGATTGAAAATACAGCATGTGTCAGCTGGGACTTTGAAGCTTCGGGTTTGTTTTACTATTATGTGCAGCTCTTATGAACGTTGATGAGTTACTTCCAATATCACACAGGTGGTGTAGGGAACTGGACAGATAGAGGATGCAACACAACCCTGGACAGGGTGTCCAGAACCGTTAAATGCAACTGCAGTCATCTAACAAACTTTGCTGCATTAGTTGTGAGTAAATACATTTTGTGTAGTCTCTGTAGCTACACCCTCAAACCCCCACTTCAGGATATATGCTCCAGAACTGAGGGCGACTGTGAACAATCTGAAGCTTCTAAGACAGCTCTTGAGATCATTTCCTACGTCGGTGTTTCTCTCTCAATCTTTGGCCTCATAATTACCATAATTACAATGCTGGTTTTCAGGTAACTGCACATATGATCTGTGTTTTTGAAGTTTTAATTTTTTCTTTTTCTCCACTAAGTAAACTTCGAAAACGAGATGCCTCAAAGTTCCACATACAGCTGAGTCTAGCTCTACTGGGCATGCTGGTGGTGTTTTTGGTGGGCATCGATAGGACTAAAGTGTTTGAGGGCTGTGTGACAGTCTCGGGTGCTCATCCACTACTTCACTCTGGTGGCTGTCATGTGGATGGCGGGCAGAGCTCTGCTCAGTGTCCAGAAGCTGGTCAGTGTCTTTGTCCAGATCACCACTCGCTACATCGTCATTGTCTCTCTGTGGCTGTGGTGTAAGTATAGTTAAGGTTTGTGCGTACAGCAATGCACATATCTTGTGGAACTGCAGTGGCTCCTCTACTCCCTGTGCTGTGATAATCTCGTGTCTCATTGACCCACGGTCATGGTGTCTTACGCCAAGTATCCAACCTTATGCTCCAAACGGCATGTTCGAGAAGTGCTGATTGTAAGTACCTAAGACATAGCTGGCATGCGCGACCGTTCTGTGCCTAGTAGTTTCAGTGTTTATTGGGGTGGAGCGCTATGTGTCAGTTGTGTGCCTTGGAAGACTGATGCGTGGTGCCTGCTACCATTCGGCCATCCTAGTCTTCAACTCTATTGTGTTTGCGATAGTCATCAGAGTGCTGTTAAAGCACTCCAGGAAAAAGTATGGCAAGAGGGATAAGAAGGTGGTCGATACTGTCAGACAATTGCTCATCAGTAGCTTTGGGATCATGTTCCTGTTTGGTTTGTCGTGGGCTTTTGGTGTACTCACAATATCGGCCGCTTCAGAGGTGTTCCAGTATCTCTTTGCGATATTCACCTCACTCCAAGGCTTCTTCATATTCCTCTTCTTCTGTGTGTTGGGAAAAGAAGCACGCGAGTCGTGGTTGCAGTTGCTATGTCGTGGACGCAAACTGCCCTGGTTCACCTCTACAATCAGTCAACAGAAGACACCTGCTTTCTCAACCAGTGGAATCTCAAGTGGGGGCGGAACCGGAACAACTTCAGCATCGAGCACCACTCCGAAACGTATATCTATGGATTACCTGCGTCGCCCTTCAGCCACTCCCAGCATTTTGAGCTCCGATAGTCGGCGTGCCTCCGACACACCTAGCATTGGGAACGATTCCGTCAGCTCCATTGAGATGAACCCAATGGAGGGGACCATACAAAATCTATACGCAATCCAAGAAGAAGACGAAGAAGAAGAGGAGGAAATAATGGCTACGTCAACTCCAAGCTCTGGAGTCTCAAGCCCCACGGGCAAAAGACAGCCGAACTCTAACACAGAATCTGTGCTGGACCTCAGCCTGGGCGAGAGTACCTCAAACAAGGAACTGCCCACCTCTCCACAGATGCATGGGTCTGTTACACAGAGTCAAGAACCATCCACCACTGATGAAGATTTAGAGGTGTTTGAAAATCCAAATGCTGATTAAATATACAACACTAACTTACTTTTCTTACTACTAATAATAATAATACCATAGCACTAGGGCCATAGCACTAGGCCTACTATAATATTATATTAATTTGGTTCTATTTATTTATTTATTTATTTATTGCCCCACCTTTCCTAGTTTTGTCTGTTCTGTATTCAAGTAAGTATACTCAGTTGCCAATTAATACGCATGCGCACAAGAGTTGTTGAATAAGCGCTTAAAGTAAGCGCGTGCGCACTTAACCTTGTAAACAACGTTTGTTCGCGTCTCTGCCATTCTTCTCACCGACACTGCACCTTCTGACAGGTCAAAAGGTGTCTCTGTTAGACGTACGATGCCCCTACCAAAACAACAAAGTACACTGAGCCCCTGGACACGGTAGACTTGGGCATGTTGTGAGCGCATCACAGACAACACCAGTGCTCGCCATCCCCCTGGCCGGGAAATGCCGTGGCTTTTCACGATTCCCGAGTTCGTCAAGAAGCGAGCATGTCGCTATCTCCTACAGCACTACCTGGGCCAGTACCTGAAGGGGAAGATACAGCTAGAAGACCTCACCGTAGACCTCTACAATGGCACTGGCACTATCACAAATGTCCCTCTCAACGTGGAGGTATACATTATAAGCTTACCCCACCTGTATGTAGCTGAAGAGAGTGCAGTGCATGTGCTCTTGTTTACACGTGTATTGTTGGTGTACTGGTGCCAGAAGATTAGTACTGTTTCTCTGGCTCGCCACACCACAGGCAGTCAACGAAGCTCTGGAAGGGACGGGGGCTCCAGTCCAGGTGGTGTCTGGCTACCTCGGGAGAGTCACAATATCGGTACCGTGGGGTGCCCTCATGAGCGACAGCTGCAGGGTCGAGGTGACGGGACTGATGCTCTCTGTCATGCCCTGTCTCAGTTCTGCGGCCGGGGAAGATCTTGGTAAGCACAAACGCCTCTGAGAGTAACTGGTGATTCTCCAACTGCATGACATTTTTATGCTGCGTAGCCACGATGACAGATTCATTGTTCTTTGGAAGCAACATGACTAACAGGTACATGCACTGTGTTTTCTGTATAATGATGTTGCATTGTACAACTATACAATTCTGTTACACATGGCATTGTGTATGTATTGTGATTTACACATTTCTCAGTCTGCAAATGGCAGAGGAGGTAATGAGGAGTGGGCCGGTGGAAGGAGAGGAAGGAGGCAGGGGTGAAACAGGAGCCGAGAGAGAAGGCCGTGCGGCTTTCGAAGGCATGGAAGCCCTTGCAAGAGCCATAGAGACAGGTGAGTGATGGTGGGATCTCACTGGAGTCATGGTATGCAATGAGCTCTGTTTCAGTTTTGTCGCGAGTGCAGATAGACTTGAAGGAGACTGTGGTGCAGTTGGTCTGTCGCTCTTCCGACTATACCCACCAGTACTTTGTCAGGCTCAGGATTCAGAGGTGTGTTCTACCCCATGATGTAATGTGTATGCCAGTCATCATGTGTATATACCATTTCTCTCACAACAGTATCAAGTTCTATGACGAGGAGAGAAGAGGGGGAGGGGAAGAGGAATCGAGTGTGGACAGACCTAGCCCAGTTGACAACCCCGCAGAGCCCAGTGGACGTGCAGCAGTCGAGACAAAGATCCTCGAACTCTCTGACATTACGGTTGAAGTCGGAGGAGTAGGGGAAGGTGTGTGAATCTATCTCCCTACCTCTCACCATGTTTACTGTCTTCCACTTCTTTATCGTTCTATTTACATATACTTCACAGATATCCACACCTCAACAATTTCCCCAGAGGATCTTCCCGGGGTCCCGGTGGCGTATGTGAGCGGTGGGATGAACGTGACTGTGAAGGTGCGGGGTACAGACAGTGCCCCCGTGCCCCGTGTACAGGTAGAGGCTGTGGTGGGAGGGGTCCACTGTCTCCTGGCGCCGTCTCAACTTCACATACTTGCGGAAATAGCTTCAGCTGCCCTGAGGAGTGGAGGTATTTGATTGTTCATCTGTTACATTCGGTACTCTATGAAACTTCTCCAGGTTCCACTGTCAGTGACTTTGAACAAGCAGGCACAGGTACCAACAGACCCATTCCCAGTGGAGACCTCCACGGGGATGCAGTCCCAGCTGCAGAGCCTCTTTCGAGAGGAGAGACGGGAGCGTGAGCGTCGCAGGGATCTTCTCACGGCGGACCCCTACCAGGGGAGAGGAGGAGGGTCCAGAATGACAGACAGCTCCGTGACGGCCTCCCCGGACATGTTCTACTCACTGAATCTCAACGAGTCGTTCTCGGAGGCCGCCACCACCCGCAGCGAGGTGAGCGGGGAGCGTTCGATGGAGTCCTCGCTCTGTACGACCGCCGCGTCGGAGACCGCCATGAGTGACTCCTACACCTCGTCCAGTACCGCCCGCACCCTTCGTGGAAAATCCCCCAACAGTGTTCACATGGGCTCTTACAGCGAGGAGGGAGATCTGGACTCCATAGCCCTCGGTGGAGGCAGCGGGCTCCAGCAACTAATGCAACAACAGAGCCCTGGGTCCAGGAGAAGACACAGAAACAGCAGCGGTGGAAAGGTTGGGGGAGGAGGGAGGGGAGAAATTGCACCGCACGACGTCTGCAAGTATTCTCTGACTCTGAGTGGGATCACGGTGGCAGTACTGGAGGCAAATCCGGCATACACACACCCGGCAGACAGGTATCGTTGCAGGAAGAGCGAGTCGACCCAGACGTACTCCAGTCTGGACAGCTGTGGACTGGACCCCATGTGCTACCTGTCAGAGGTGGCCAACGTACTGAGGGCTGGCGTGAATCGCAGGGAGATACAGAGGCAGAGGGAAAACTTGGCTCAGGCCTTGCCTCTAGACCACCTCTTGTGAGTGAGCCTCACACCACAGCTTTTAGAAGACAACGTGTGTGAAGCATGCAGGAGCACCCTTTTTGAAATTGCATCAGCATTGTTGCTTACCATTTGCCGCCTTTTACGTGCTGTATGTGTTGAACTGCAGAGTGTGGTTCTCGACTGTAAAGATTGGAGTTAGCCTGCAGGGACCCACTACTGACCTACAGCTGACGGTGGCTTCGTGCGAACTCTGGGAGTTCCTCTACAGCAATGCTGCCAACCTCCCTCACATCACCACCCCAGTCTCTGCTGCTCTGGTACTACTATGTACTCTCAGGAACGAGTTGTTTTATTGATGACCTCGTTCATTATTCCTAGTTGATTGAGCTGTTGGAAGACGTTGCCCTGTCTCAACCATGCATCAGACTTAAGGTCTCAAACTCAACTGATCACGCCCCAAGAAAGGTACATATGGTATATACGTACATGACTAGCAGTCATTGCCTATTCCTCCTCTCTCTCTCTCTGCTAGAGACATACAAAGCAGGGCTCTCTTAGCCAGATGGTGTCTGTCGACCTGACTCTCACCTCCCCTCATGTTAATCTCGACCCCACGCTCGCCGAAAGGCTCCAGCCTCTCCTCCTCTCCCTCTCCTCCTCCTCTCCCTCTTCTCATGGGGGAGGTGGTAGAACTGGACTGGCTGTCTCTCAGGCACAACTGAAGCACTCACTGTACATGACCACCAGCAACTTCCACTCTGTTAACCAGGTTAGCCATTGGTTCCTTGAACTGGTAACACATGTTAAATTGAGTGTCTCTGTGTGTGTGTGTGCAGCAAAGGCAGGCAGTGTTCAACCAGGCAATGAACAGTGACCACCGAAACAGTCCAGAGCTGAGAGTCCACCTAAAGATCGCCACCTCATCTGTCTCCCTTTCCCTCAGGTACATCTTTACACCACTGTCGGTGTACACGTCCGTATGTATGTATGTACACATGTGTACAGGTTCCCGGTGCCCGAGTTGAGTGAGGCCCAGCGGAGGTTGCCGTGGTACCACCCATCCCTGCGAGACGAGGTCCTCCACCTCACCTTGTCACAGCTCACACTCACCAGCACCCTTCTCCCCCACCTCCCCCACAACTCCTCCGTCTTTGACGCCTACTTCTCCAATGCCAATGGTAGGCATATACACCCTTGTGTACTGTACACACATACTATTAACTTGATGATGGTTTGTGTACCTAACTATGTATTATGCATGGTACACAGTGTTTCTGAGCTGTGATGGCAGTGTGGAAGGGAGGGAGCTATTCCTTACTGTGTCTGGTTCTGGGCAACAATCGTCATTCTTTGGAACTAACAGTAGCCCCACCAGAGCAAGGTGAACTAAAGCACTCACACGTCTCAGTGTCTACCTCTGTCCCTTGCTCGACCGGTGCAGCCTGCAACTGGTGCTCCAGCCGGTGAGTGACAGTGTCCTCGAGCAGTTGACCAAGTCGTCTCCCCCCTCCTCGACCCACGTCCACCCTCACTTGCTGGATGACCTGGTAGGGCTGGGTCTGGATGAGGGAGAGGGGACACGAGACGAGCACAACGAACCCTCACCTTTCTCCACAAAGAGGGACATGTACTCTGGAAAAAGTGGAGTCCAGGTACACATATACACACATACGTATGTTTGTGTCTGTGCACATGCACATCATACGCTGGTGATTGATAATGGGTGGCTCAATGCTCAGTACAAACTTGTGGTTCCAAACATTTCCAGTTATAATGCAGACGCTTATGAATGTTTTTTCTCAGAGTTCAAGTTCTCTCTCTATATCACTGCAGAGTGCAGAAGAGGAGGGAGCTGGCCCAGAGGAGCACACGGAGCAGCTGGTTACCCCGGGCTCCCGCGGCGAGATGGAAGAGTTTGAGCGGTACTCCTCGTCCTTCGCCCGGTGCCACGTGAGCCTCCACCTACCCAGGGTCTTCGTCCATCTCCCCAGCAAGTCCTTTCTTGAGACACTCTACTCCAGGTTACTGCGCATACTTACATAGTATTAGAATGAGTGCAGCATATTATTGACGAGTGAACTGGAATTAGAATCAAATCAGCGACTCGAGGTGGCGTAGGCAAATTTAGTAAGGTTGGTTGATTTGTTGTGCGTGTGTCTAGATTTGCAACGGATCTGGCACTGTGGCGGCCGGCCAGCCCCGAGCAGGTGGAGAGAGCCAACGCTGCCAAGTCACTCTTCTTCTCCTCTGTGGACATCCAGCCAGCAGCCACCGCCGAGGAGAAGGTCCAGATGTGGAACACTGCTCTCAAAGGTCAGTCGCTATTACAAGGACATTAGATAGCCTACGCAGGTTCATGAATCCTACAGTCCCAGTGTACGTGTGTATGTATGTGTCTCTGTGCAGAGTATCCTGAAGACGAAGATGAAGAAGACGATCTAGCTCGGGAGTTCTTACCCTCTCCCCCCTCTGCTTCTTCCTGCCCCACCCCTGGACTGAGTGCTCTGTCTCTCTCTGTCTCCATCGACACTGCTCGTCTCTCCATGCTCCTCCATATCAACGACGACAACAACAAGGTCTTTACAACAGACACCGCTGTGTAACTCTGTGCCAAATAAGTAATTGTCTATAGCATATTGTGCAATTTCTGGATTTGCTGATTACCAAGGTCACCAAATTGTGTAATTGACACTGATTTCTTCTTTTCTTAGTCTTGTTCGATGGGTAGAGAAGACCCCTCCAATCCTCGTGCTAATTACTCGCCCGGAGACAGTCTGTATGCGAGTGCTTTGTCGGAGCCGCCTCTCCTGCCTGACCTGGACTCCGCCCCCACAGTGGGAGGGAGGGCGGGGGAGAAGGTGAGTGGAGGAGAGACGGACGGAAGTGGCGGAGAGCCGGGGAAGGAACAAGATCGCGGACTGGCAATTGTCGAGTGCTCCTCTCTCCATTTCTACCTGGTCTCTGGCTATCACGGAGACCCAAATCACGATTACATCTGTGCCCACGTACGTAAAGACTCTCACACTATTTTGGGTCTTAACAATCGGTTCACTTTATGTATGTATGTACTACATGTGTATACAGGTTGAGCAGTTTTCCCTGGCCCACACTGGTTCCCTGCGATCGTCTGGACTAACTCCCTATTCCGCCGTTCTAAACTCCACCTCTCATCACGAGACCCTCTCCAGACTCCACCACGTCGTCCAGACGTCTCCAGAGAGACTCCAATTGAAGCCCACCTCTCACGGCGGGGCTCTCCCCTTACCCATGATGCTAGTTGCAATGGACATTAGACTGGATCCAGAGAGGAATTCAAAGGTATATACATGTACTGCATTTCTTGTTGCAACCTCAAGTGTAAGACTTCTCTGTTGCTCCTCTTTAGACTAACAAGTGTGCTGTAGCTATTCAAAGCTCCCTCCTGAACCATTACGTCACTCCTTCGGCACTCAACTGCTTCACGCAGGTCAGGTTGTGATAATAATGGTGCTGGATTACGAGGTTCTCCTGTTGTAACGAGCAATTCCCTCTCTCCCTGCAGTTGGGAGAGTTTCTGAGTCTGACAGACGAGACAGTGGAGGGATATGAGCCTCCGTCTCTCATTACCGAAATGCACCTTCACCTGCAGGACCTCAGACTTGAATACTGGTATTGACATGTACTTAGTGTACTATTATGTGTAGCACTGTACTTACATACAGTATTATCCATGTGTGCACATTATCGTTTTGGCTACTCTATCCCCAGTCCACTGCACCTTCCTCTGAGGGTTCTCCTGGGGGTTGGCTCAGTCCAGCTCTCCACCAGTCTCGTGGCCGGGTCTCCTCTCCTGGTGATCAGACTCCTAGTGGACCACGCAAACCTGGCTCTCTCTGACTCACGCAGCCACCACCACCCACCTTCCCTCAGAGGTTGACCACACATTGAGTATTTCCCCTTCATTTTGTGGTTTTCTCTCTCTGCTAGACTATGTGTGTGTACTGGACCTGGACTGGTTTGAGCTGACTCTCAGACTCTGCAACAAAGCACAGTTCGAAGAGGAGAGCCAAAAGGTTCTGTTTCATTGTATTGTTCAGTTCACACCTCAACTCTCTCTCTCTCTCTGACAGCTCTTCAGTCACCTCCCAGAGCTGTCTCTGGAGTGCTCCAGCAACGTTCTGCAGATCCACACGTGTGTGGACTCGTGCGTGGCTCTCAGAGATCTCCTGGTCTACCTGGCCTCTGACGGGGACCTCCATCCCGCCCCTGCGAGAGAGACCAAGAGTGGCCAGAGCTACTCAAACCCGGCCTCTCGTAGTTCGGACTCAGCCCCTCCAACCTCTTCTTCTTCCTCCCCTGCCCTCCCCCCACCCTCCTTCCTCCATCTCACTGGATATCAATGACCTCCTCACCGATGCCATGGAGGACTCACCACCAAAGACCACACCCACCCAAACTCCACCTACCAGCACTGATAACTCTGTCAGCAGTGGTCGAGTGTTAGAAAAAGCAAGTGAACCAATTGAAACTACCACCAAGAGTAAAATACAGGTATGTTAGACACACACACATACATTGGATGTACAATGTGTATAATACTTACATAATAAACATCTGTACTTTACTTAAGGTTGTGGAGCATGGAGAAAAGTCACTGGACATTGATTTTGGAGACTCAGACGATGAGGAAGGTGAGGTTCCGAGAGAGGAAAGAGGGGAACGAAATGGTCGCAGATCCAGTGGAACAGTCAGTGGTGGGATTATTGCCGAACTTACTGACGCCATCGAAGAAGAAGAAGAAGGTGGTGCGAGGCAAGTAAAAAGTGCAGTGGGCGGTGGAGGGAGGAAGAGAAGTGAAGATTTGGATGATAATGGATTCTGTCTTCTCGATGCACCCACCTCAACATATGTGGTGCGTTACGTCTTTCTCCCAACTCCTCACCGATGATTAACTCGTGTATATACGACTATTACATAGGCTCCGGGCTCCAAGCCAGTGATCAAGTGTCTGTTGCCAGAGGGAGACACATGGAGGATCGTTGAAAACCACTTTGCCATACCAGTCAGTCAACAACCCACATCATACAACTTTGTTAGAAAGTGGCAAAGTGTATACATGTCATAGGCAACCTCCATGTATTTTGTGTTTTGTTGAACAGGAGCACCACGTGGACCAACTACTGAAACCAAAGCATTTCCCAGGACCAGTCCTCCAGTACACTTTGAAGGAGCTCACCATTGTGTGGCACCTGTACGGGGGGCATGACTTCACCCCCCACCCCTTCACACCCTCACCAGCTTCCAGTCCTCACCTCCCTCACAGAACTCCTACGACCCCCGTTCCTTCTTCCTCGCAGCGTCCTCCTAGCTCCGTCTCTTCCAGAGCGGGCACGACCCCGTCTTCCAGTCACGGTAGCCCGACTTACACGTGGTCGAGATCTTCACTGCCCGGTGGGAAGGGAGGAGGGAGAGGTGGGAGGGGTCGAGGTGGGTGGAGTTTCTCTGGAGGGCCTGGTAGAGATCACAGTGTTCATATGGAAGTAGAAGTTGATAAGGTATACATGCACAGCATATCTTCCCTAATATCTATTGTAAATAAGTGACGCTAGCAGAAATTGAGATGCCTCTGTAGTGAACTTGGTTTGTGTTTCCAGATGCGTCTCCAGTACGAAGTCTTCCCGCAAGACACGGCGCAGGCCTCGCGACTCGCCTTCCTCGTTCGAGACCTGGAGATACGAGACAGACTGGCTCAGTCCAACATCAACAAGTTCCTCTACCAGTACACCACAGAGAGCATGCCACGTCAGTCACACGCCAACATGGTGAGCCTGAAGGTCCTGACCACCAGACCTGAGCTGGAGACGGACGTCGATGAGGAGGAAGTGTCTGTTCGTCTCTCTGTCCTCCCCATCAGACTCAACATTGACCAGGCATGTACTCACACACTACCACTAACTTACTCATCCATACGTACGTACGTACGTACTATTTTCTGTAACGCAGGATTCTTTCTACTTCATGTTCGAGTTTTTCAGTCACATATCAGACACATCTTCCCTCTACCGTGAGTATCTAATCTTTACATGTATGTACGTAGTATATACAACCTGTGTGGGTAAAAATTAATTGTTATGCACACTGTACACCTCTTTCCCCCACAGACCCTCCTTCACCCCCAGCAACAGTCACCTCAGCAGCACCAACTCCACCAGTCTCTACTCAGGGCAAACAGGTCTTCATCCGTTTGTTTGTGTTCCAGCCAGCACTCCCCATCAAGATTGACTACACAACCAAGTGGAGGTTCCCTACAGATACAATGGTTAGCCACCGTGTGTGTGCGGTGTATTAGCACACTGGCCAAGGAGTAAAAGGAACCAATGTATGCCACATCCACACAGGGTACTCTACCGGGAATTCTCATTAGTCTCTACCATCTCGACAACTCTGAACTCACTCTCAAGGCACTCAACTGCAAGACCGGGTATACTGTGCATACAATAATGGACAGGATATTGTTCTCTATATTATACGCCTGTATTCAACTTTTCTCCAGATTTCTGGGCTGGGACAGTCTGTTGGAGTGTGTGGCTCGTGAGTGGAGCACTGACATAATGAGCAGGCAACTCCCCCTCATTCTCAAAGGAGTCGGCCCTACACACTACATCACTCAGTTCGGTGAGAACCAGTATAATGTAGTACTCTGTGTGAATTTCCCCGAGTGATACGCATGGCTGGTGCTTCGATTCAGCTGTAAAGTTTTGGTGGGATTGCGTGTGTTCAACTTAGAGAGCCGAGTTCCCTATTATTGACTGGAATCCTCTGAAATGGGATCATCCTCTCTGTCTCAGTACACGGGGTGGTGGACCTGGTTCGACTGCCCTACCACCAGTACCAGGAGGATGGCCGAATAGTTTGGGGTCTACAGCAAGGAGCGTCTTCCTTCTCCGCCTCCACTGGACTGGCTGTGGTGGAGCTCACCAGCCGGACTCTAGAGACACTCCAGGTTTAAAACACCTCTGTGTGTGTTTGCTACTTCGTCTCTCCCCTCTGTGCAGTCAGTGGCGCAGATGGTGTATGACCTTGTGACTCCGGTCCCCGCAGAGGGTCACGCGAGTCAGGGACCCTCTCAACGCAGGGCTCCCCATCAGCCGCAGGACTTCAGAGAGGGCGTCTCCAATGCCTACGACGTTGTGGCCTCGGTACATAAGCCCTCTTGCCCCCTTTTGTCTTTTCGTTAGTTGTTATGGTCGTCCATTAGTGCAAAGTGAAGTCTCCTCAAACAGGTAGTGGAAATTGCACTAATGGGGTCTACCATACATATAGATGCACGTTACGGGGTAAACCAGATCGTGATGTGCAAGTTGTTGAGCTTTTGCTGTACTTCACAGGGTCTCACGGGTGCAGCGGTGGACCTGTACACGGTGGCCAGCGTGGAGCACGAGGAGAGAGGGGTGACGGGGGCCGTGGGGGGGTATCCTCCGACAGATCCCAGGGACCGTCGTGAAACCAGTCATACTGCTCTCCGAGGCCACCCGACACGTTCTGGGCGGAGTCAAGAATCAATTTGTCCCTGACGCCCGGAGAGAGGCCCGGGAAAAGTGGAAGACTGTTGACACAAATGACTGAGATGACACTTCGTTTTAAATGACCGCTGGATCGTGGAAGTATCTTTTGTTGAGTTGTGCATTAATTTTATCAGAGAGTGCAATTATTATTGTCTGTTGTAATCTTTATTGTCACAAATTTTTATTGTGCACAGTCACAGAGTCAGATTATCTAATTGTACGTCACCATAACTATATATTATTGCCATAAGATGAGATATATCCTTCACGTGAAAACAAAGAATGGAATGTCCTCAAATGCCTGGGTTATACTGGTGGTTGCTGTGATCCCAAACCATTTGCTCTTGCTTTCAGCAGCCCATGCAGCCTCAAATTTAAGTCCATATGTGTCAGCAGTTGTGATGGATGTGGTCAGGCATCTTCTTGCTATCCTCTCACGACCACAGAGGTAGTTCTTGTAGGCCTTCAGGTGAGAACTGCGAGCCTTGAGCACCGGATACTTTCTCGACAGGCACCCCAGTGCTTTCAAAGCCTTTGTGAGTGAGTGTGTAATATGGAGTTAGGCTTGCAAGAGAAGAGAAAACCTAACACTCTGTTTTGGGATCTCCAAACCTTTTTGGCCTGAGTTTTGTGCTCTGGTGTTCCTCCAGATAGCCTCCAGAGCAAAAGACAGCACTCTGTGAACCTCACCAGTCCACGCAGCGAGAGATATGTGAAGAACTTGGGCGGTTTTAGCTCTGGGAACGATGACTCTTCACACACCTTACAAATAACTGGCGTGTGCTTTGTGAATTACCTTTTGCAATGGCCGCATAACTCTTTGCCAATGAAATCTGCTGTTTCCTTGCATGCCTACAGATCAACAATAGATGACTATAGAGATTTGTATGTACTTACCAGAGACCCAAGCAAGATACGAGAAAGAATTGCTCAATCTCATCAAAATGGTAGACGTCCTCCTTACAAGCCATTTGGGCAGACTCGACCAGTCTTTCTGCTTCATCTAGTCCAATACCTGGGACGTGAACATTCAAACTTTTTGCTTAGTGTCATGAGAGACTTACCAACATCAAGGAGAACATCAAAGTGGCAACAGTCGTACACGGCCTGGCCCCTCAAGTCATCTGCCTCACTGGCTAACTCACTTATTTCCCTCAGTGTCTCTCTACATTCCTCCATTCTAAGATAGTGTCGTTCTTACACCATGAAGGAATGGGCAAGATTCATAGTACGTACCTGAGGCAGGAGAGCTGGACGTTAAGCAGTAGGGGTAGAGTAATCATTTCCATAGACACTCCGTGCATTTGACTAGCAATCCTTCTTGCTGCCACTCCTAGTATTCGTGTACAGCAGTGAAGAATAATACGCAATATCCTTTTGCCTAGTTAGTGTGTACCAAGTCCTAGTGCATCGTTTATCTTCCCAAGGCAGAGCTTTGTGTTGAGTGCCACATTGAGTAGGTGGACGTAAGTTGGCAGGTCCTCAAGACCAAACCGAATGTCGTGGAATCTGCAGCCAAAAAATAAGAATGAGCCTTGACCTTATTCCAATATTATACGTACTTACCTCGACAGAGCTTTCTCTGCATAAAAGTTGCCCAGACGTAAAAGATGGAAAGCCTGACAACATTCAATGATTGTAGCATACGCTTCCACCAACTGCAGACAGAGGTACATATGTATACTGACAAATCCAGTACTTTGAAACTTGGATGCACACCTCATGTACGTCTTCCTCTGCTTCTTCCGTGGTGTTGAGTTGTCTTAGTGCCACCATGAGACTGTGCACATCATTCCCCTCAACCTGGTAGGCATGCACAAGAAGTGCCATACAGTGAGCTCGCTCCAGGAAATTTCCTTCCCTGTTCAAATAATTCGAGGCTTTTAGCTTTCTGGTTCTAAACGCTCAGAGTTTAACCTTTGGCTTTCCAGGAATCTCCTCGGAAATGTGACGTGGAGCCACTGTCTGAAAGCCTGGGAAACAATATCAAACACAACTCCCAGTTTACTGGTTGGTAGCTGTGTGTCAAGGAGCCTCAGAGCCTGCTGAAAATGAGGAACACTCTCTTCAGCCTCACCACTTTGCAGCAATGCCTACAGTAGGACAAAAACCATGAGAATTAAAAAATTCGAGGAATATTCCTAATCACCTGTCCACTGAAGGTCTCCAACTTTATCTGCTCGTTCTCGGACAACAGTTTCCCTCCATGGTCGTTCATGAGCTCCCGTGCTTCGTGGAGAAAGGCGAGAGCTTCCATGTTGTTGAAGGTGGCCACTGCTGCTGATGCAGACTCGATGAGGTAGTCGACAGTCTTGGACATGTCTCGAGCAGCTCTCCAGTGGCGCACTAGCTGTGGATACACGTGGGCCAGGACCTCATCGCAGTGACAGTCTTGGAGGTCGATGCCAAGTATGTCCACCTCGCCGATGCTGTTGTATCGAACTCCCCTGGTGGTGGCAGATTGATCGTCACTGGCTGGACCAACACTATAGTCAGCAACTCTGTTGGGAGTGGGTGGAGTGAGCAAGGAGAGACGTCTGGCCCCACTTGGATCAAAAGACCCCCCACCGATTCCTTCCGGTGCCACGCTGCTTCGTCTCCGGGAAACAGTGCTCCTTCGCTGGAGCTTATTTTGAGCCAAGAGTGAACTTTGAGCTGTTGAAGGGCGGGATGTGGGTGGGCGAGCAGCAGGAGAAGGTGCTGTGCTCTGTGTCTGCTTCCCCTTGTTGGAGGTCTTGTGACCTGTCAGAAAACCACCACCACCACAGTTGGTGCACTTGTGAGCCTGCGACTCAAGGTACAGTGCCGAGGACTCGTGAAGGGAGGTCCTCTGTTTATCGGTCCACAATCCGTAGGCAGTCTCCTGCACGTAGGCGTGGACAAACTGTAGCATTTCGCACGAGTCGACTGGTGGGTGGTCCTTGGCATGTAGTGTGGTGTGATGTTGGGAATGGATAATGTGTCTGTCTTCATCCAGGCAGGGGCAGTGGTGTTGGGGGTTACCCAGTGGCAGATGATCCCTTGACCGAGTCTGTATGTCAGACTGTAGGGACCTTGCCTCTGCTGCAATGGCACACTCTATGATGCCTGCCTGGGCCAATGTGTTGAGGGCAGCGTGGAAAGCAGCCGGGGAGTAGTTTGGTACAATGTTCTGGAGCATGGTCCGTGTGAAAGAGGTACCCAGTATGGCCGCACACTTGAGCGTCATCTGCTCGGTGGCAGACATGTGGTCCATTCTGGTGAGAATCATCCCAGTCACCGAGTCCGGGATGGGGAATGTCGTCAATTTGAACTCTGCTGCTCATTTGGCACGAGTTGCGTTTCCTCGAACTGGTGAGCACCACTCTCCTCTTCTTCCCGCTCGCCATGGCTGTCCCCACCAGATCTGGCAGGCCCTCGTCTTCCTCTTCATCTCCCTCTTCTAGGATAATTTCACTGTCTTCCACTATCTGCGAGATTGGTAATAGTGGCCATTTGATGAGAAAAATGTCCTATCATCATAGTCCCATATGTACTATAGGTACTCTATATAAGTATAGTGATGAATGTGGGCAGTTGGGTGTATCAGTGCCTGACCTTGAGGTACTGGAGTTCAACCATGGTCTCCACTAGTTCCTCGCACCACTGCGGGATCCCGTGACTCCTATCCCTGATGATCTGCTGCAGTGGCTCCGGCAACGAGTCCACGTTGATGAAGTTGCACGCCAGGGTGACCATCTCGTCGGGGGAAAGCCCCTTTAGCTCCACCACCTTTGTGTGTGGGTGGTTGAGTATCTTGAGCATGGCCAGACTCTTTCTCTCCTGCTTTCTTAGTGGCCGGGTGGTCATGACTAGGATTGCATTAGAGGATCAAGAGCGAGGTCTTGGATGAACTCCCACGAGTCTGTGTCCACCAGGTGAGCATCGTCAATGCCAAACACACACGGCTTGGAGAGAGCTTCCTGTGGAAAAAAACCAACACCACACGGGTGTAAAATAATGAGTGGTACATTGTGTACGGGGCCAAAACCTCGTGGATGATGCTGTAAAGAAGTTTGTGAAGGACTTTGGTCCGCTCATCGTGGTGCATGTGAAGCGTAGTTGATGTTTGAGGAAACTGAACGAAAAGAGCACCAATGCAAGTAATTTGGCAAGGATATTTTATGTTTGTGCATACATGCCTTTAGGACAAGGAGATCATTCAAAAGTGGGAGAAGTTGTCGCGTATTTTCGTCCAGGATGTGTTCTAGGATCAGCTGCTCTCGGTCGTGCATGTTCTTACAGGCATCCAGCCCGAGGAGTCGGGCAATGAGGGTCTTGACGGTAAAGAATGGTGTGCTCTGCTCGTCCAGACCCCCCCCAGACACCACTCTGAACCCCATCTCTGCCGCCCTGGCCTTCATGGCTCGCAGGAGCTTCGTCTTCCCAATCCCACCACTACCCAGGATGAGGATGACCCCGGGGTCCCTGTGGGTGTGCTCTGACACGTGTTGCAGCTCCTCCATGAACAAAGACATCTCCTTTTCCCTTCCTGTGGGGGGTTACACAACTGTCAGTAATACCCATTGTGGGCAGAGTTATTATTTACCAATGAGATCATCGGCATCTGTGTGATGGTGCACATCACTGTGGTGTCCGTCAATAATGGGATGACTGCAGGTATTACATGTAAATAACCAACACACGGACAGGTTCTACCAGAGGTTTTTATACTGACATACCTCTCTGTCAAGAATTTGTAGACATTTTCTGGGTTTTTGATTCCCTTCAAGCAAACCGGTGGTTGTAAGACGAACTGACTAGGAGCCAGTCCGGACTTGCTCTTTGTTGTCTCGTCGCTCACCACACTACCAGGGAAGGCCATCATGAGCCTTGCCGCCATGTTCACCTTCTGGCCGATGACTGTGTACTCGTGTCTCTGTGGGTGGCCCACGACCCCACAGAATGCCACACCAGTTGTGACTCCCACCGAGTATTTTCTGAAAAGTCACATTGAATTTTGGGAATGGTGAACATACAGATTGTAGGTAAATCTCCTGACTCGAGGTGCAGATGATTCAAGTTGTTGAAAATCTCCCGTGCCGTTTTTAGAGCTCGCCCTGCGTCGTCTTCGTGTTTGGCATGAGGTAAGCCAAACACACAGAGAAATGTACAGCCCTGAAAAATATGCAGAACAAGGCTTCTTGGACTTATTTACTAATGTGTAGTTCTTACCTTGTCAAACATAAAAACTTTGTTCATTAAACCTAGTATAAAGGGAGAGAGGTTGAAATACATTAGTTTATCATTAGTTTTTACCTACCATCAAATTTGGAAAGAACAGGGTATATGACATCGAAGGACTGCTGCAGTAGTGACTGCTTTTCATAAGGACCTATTTTCTTTCCTGGATCCAGGTTGATGAAGAGCACCGAGACCTCTCTCAGCTCTGATAGCCAGCTCACATCTTGTCCGTGATCAATCTTTAAAAAAAAGACACTTTGTGTGTGTTTGCGTGCTTTTCTCACTAACCTTATGCACGACTACCCTCAGTACATAGCTCTTTAGGGACTCCTGGGCATCTTTGTCTAGTGTCCTCAGATGATCACTGATCCCAGTTCGAACTGTGGGCCAGTTAATACATGTCGTATGTACATAGGAGACTGTGGTTTAATGTACGTACAGCACAACCCTCCTCCAACTGGGACAGGAGATGCAATGGACAGCCTATTCTCAGGGATGCCGAGTCGCTGTTCCTTTTCCCTTGTTGTTGAGAGCGATGAAAGGGGCCTCCCATAATTGACCACAGAGTGCAACACTGCTCCCAGCGTGGATCTACGTGTGTCTGTCGTCACCAACTCAGAAAGACGACTCTCTTCCTCCACTGTTGCATGCATTTTGCTCACCTTCACAGAGTAGTAGTATATAGCGTGAATGCAATGTATAACGGATACATCATGTCTACAGACCATTACACAGCCATGTCCGACAATCCTGGAAAAGCAACTCTCCTTGTTGCACATCTCCCAGGCTGTCTTTGACAGGACGACTGTCCCAGGGCGAGTCTGGGACTGAGCCAGGTTGGCATCATCCACACTTTCGCCTGTAATGTCAAAGGTCTTGAAATCCTTTTGACCAATATAGTGGACATCTGTCCTCCCGACGCTGAGCCCAATCTTCATCCTGAGCAGTGCTCCGTCCTGGGTCCTGTAGTTGTCAAAGTCATTCTGCATCATGAGGCTCTGCTGCAGGACATGTTGCACAATGCCAGCGCAGCAAACTGACTGCACTGCCAGAACGCAAGGATTGCGTCCCCAGCAAATTTGACAATGTCACCTTCTGCTTCAAGAATTGCTGCAAGAGAAGACTTTCTAAGCTTGCCGCATCTATGATACGAATGAATCTCTCTCTACCTTGCACTATGTGGCTGAGGTATTGATTGAGAGTGGATGTTAGCTGATCTGTCCCGTCGTGTTTTGACCTAGCCTCACTGCAATAGTTTTCACAGAGAGCAGTGAAACCTGCAGCAAACAAGGTGGCCCCAACTAAAATGAATGAAAAATGTCAAAAAGGCACACCAGAGACATCCAGAAACATGACGACTCCATAGCAGTGGGTGATTTGAGGAACTGGAGACTGGTGGGGGCGATAGAGGACCATATCTGGTATATGGGTAGCAAGCTGTTCCAGCGCCAATGACGATGATAATTCCGGGTTTTCTTCTCCCTCTGTGAGTAAACCAGCCCCACCCCTTTGTATGCACGTGGCGAGCTAGCTAGAAACTGTACAACTTACCCTTCAAAACGGACTGTTCGGGAGATCCATCCTTATTCTGCAGCTCTCAGTCCAGCACCACCAGTGACTGGTCGAAAATTTTCTCCATGGAAACACGGGTATATACAAAAAGTGACGGCCGGAGCAGCCGTGTTCCGCGTGTCCGCCGACTCACAATAATGACGACGACGAAGGAGGAAGACGAAGAAACATGGAAAGAAGAGTGGTGCATTCATGGTCAGTGGGTGGATGGCGCGTGTCTGTGCGACCCAGGAAAGGCGACGTTCTTCAACGACAAACTGCTGACCCAGAAATACTGCGACTTGGACGAAAGCAAAGTCGCCTCTCTGTCGGTAGCGTACCCGCCGAAACACTTCCTCTACTTGTCCACCATGAGTTTTACGGTCGTTTTGACTGTCGCAGCGTTTGTTGTACTTGCCAGCGCTGTAGCCGTCATCATCCAGAAGGCCGTGACCTCGAAAAAGATCCGAAAGGCGCGGCAGGAGCTGATAGAGTTCAGAAACAGCAGGGTGATTCGATACGGCGGTACTACAGTTGTCTTTTGGGCCCCTCCGGACAACTTTCAATGTATCAACCAGCAGCAAGGTGGAGGCGGTCTCGAGGCGAAGGTGGTGGTGGCCTACAACCCTCAGAACGAGGGTGAGCTGACGCTCAAGCTCGGGATGACCGTGACGAACGTGGAGGAGCTCCAGAGGGGATGGTGCAAGGGATCAGCCGGAGGGAAAACGGGATTCTTTCCGGCAGCTATGGTCGAGATACTCACATAGTCGTTTTCATAATAATCAGTACACATTAATCACTAAGTGGCAAATACAATAAATATTGGCAATGTCACAAAAGTTATCGTTGACTCAAAAGTAAAATTCTGATGGATCCACAAGGCAATCTTGTTGGGTGATCTCCACAGTTGCTGGACCATCTGTAACAACAGAGAGATGATAGCATTCTATATGCAGACTTCACATTGTGTTCATCGTCATACCAAGTGTGAAGACTGTGTCAGCCTTGATTTCTGCACGGAAGTTCTCAATGGCTCTCTTGATTGCAAACAGAGCCGAGCAGCTCAAGCACAGCGGGGGCTCTCCCACACCTGCAATGGAGCTCCATTAAATTTTCTGTGTTGCATTGACTGAGCAATAATACCTTTCGTGCCCAGAATTCCAATGGGGTTTGGGGCATCACGCAACAGGGCAATCCTGAAATCAATCGGGATATCCTTGGAAGCTGGTGGCTTGTACTCCTGCAATAATACCAGCATATACCATTTTATCTTGGATTTAAAAACGTCTAGAAATTAATGATATACCCATGTGTTGTGTGTGAGCAGTTGCCCCGAATCCTGGTCAAATATGAGCTTCTCTGTAAGCCAGTAGCCGAGACCCATGGTAAATGCACCTTCAACCTGGCCCACATCAATGTCAGGGTTGATACTGCAGCAGGGAAATAACACGTACTAATGAAAGAAATGAGCATCCTCGTTAATGTATACCTGTCGCCGCAGTCATAGAGAATGTCCACTCGGAGAATCTGCAGCTCTCCAGTGAGGACGTCAATCTCCACCTCAGTACAACCCACTCCATAGGCATTGTAGGAATACTGGTAGTCCGTCTTCTCTTCAACACTGTGTGATGGGTATATAGCAAGTGAAAAAGTAACATAATTAAGCAATTTAGGGAATGCATTCACAAGTTTTCCACAGAGAGGTTGACTCCTTGGTCATTACAAGCGGCCACCAGCTCCTTCCAGGTTGCTTTTGGATTAGCTGCTCTCACGGGGGAAATCCTCTCGTTTAGTTCATTACATGCCCTCAGAGTCCCCTGCACCATACAGAACCATGCATGACGATAACGTCATTGTAAATCAACTGTCACAGTGAGTGATGTTGAGTCTGACCAGGCAGCAGAGCTCGCTGGTAATGCTCCCGCCAGTGGTGATGTCATTGGGTCCAATGAGAGTGTTGGATGGCTTCACACTGATAGTGTCCAGGGGAATACCCAGGGTTTTGGCAGCTACCTGAGCCACCTATACAAGAGAATGAATCTTAGGGTTACACAAGACAACATGCAAAAGTTTGGAGGGAGAAGAACGTATTGAGGGAGATAGAGGTACAAGGTGAAATTTTGGAGCGCACTAGTACTCGATCTGTTTACACACAAACTAAACTCTTCAGACCTTTGTGTTGATTCCCTGGCCCACTTCAACTCCTCCGTGGCAAATGGCTACAGTTCCGTCTGCAGCGTAGATATTGATGTGGACGGTGTAGGGAACGGCCCAGCCCCACTCCATCCAGAACCGAACTGGGACCACGCTCAAACCTCGCTTACGCCAACGGTTCTCCTGAACGACAAATACGAGCAGTTTCAAACTAAACCAGAGGTAAATGTGGGTGTCAGTCAGTTTACAAAGCTAACCTCGTTGAATTTGGCAGCGGCGGCTTTTCGACTCTCCACCTCAGCAGAACTGTACAAATCTACAGAGAATGAGAGATGTAGAGTAGTATCCAAGAGCTATGGCTCGTCTGTGACTCACCGTCCCATAGAGTAGAAATGTTGCAGTAGGTCAGAGGAATATCTATTGGAGTGACCTAAACAACAGACCCCAGATTATAGCAGGCTCAATAGTAACAGACTGATGGCAATGCACCTGGTCTTTCTTGTAGAGATTGGCTCTTCTGACGGTGTCTGGGTCAAGCCCAAGGGTCCTGGCCACCTGGTCTATCATACCCTCCATGATGAATATACCAGGACACGTACCTGTCAATTTTGATCATAGAGATCAGACTGATACGGTACAACGTATGTCAGTCAGAGGTTGGATTTGATTGAAAGTTAAAGTGGAAAATTTGTACTACATGTGTGTAGGTCGTACCTGGAGATCTGGTGGCAGTGTTTGCTGCAATGTTAGTCTTGCAGGCCTTGGGAGTGACCAGCCAGTTGGGCACATAGTACGCTGTGACCCACGCAGCACAAAACTGTTACACAGCACTCCATCGTTAGAAGACTGACCATTATCAATGTGGTCCAGGGCCATCCCCAATGCATTGTCGTTATTGCACCACCCACAGTTATTGTAGACAGTCGCCTCGATACCATTGAGAATGCCATCTTCAGTGCAGCCGATCTGCAGAAGACACAAACGACAGCAAAACATGTCAAGTCAACGAAATAATATGGGAAATAGAGTATATGCCAACTGACGGTGAAGGTGGCATAGTAGGGGATCCTTTTGCCGATCATCTTCATGTTTGTATCAATGTCCAGGTGCATTCGAACCGGCCTACATCAAATGCAGAGCACATTCAACAACAGGCGAACAAAAAAGTATAATAGATAAGTACCTCCCGGTGGCGTGAGCTGCCAGTCCACATGCGGCAGCGATCCAGTGGGAACGGGTGATCTTACCTCCGTAAGCCCCACCCACTCTCCTGACACTCACATCCACACTGCACACAACAGTGCAACAAACTTTTCATAAAATGTCCGCTACGCACCCTCGGGCCTACTACTTACCTATTGTACAACAATCCTAATGGCCATGTACACCCCTAAAACACACTTATGACGCAGGGAGGCAGACCTGCTGTTGTTGATGCCCAGAACTGCGGCCACTGCAGCCTGAGTTCTCTGGGTCCACTGAGTAGAGCTGTACACCATGTAGCCCTCCGCCTCTGGAATCACTAGTGACGTCTGCAGCACAAGACAGAAGCCCTCACTCCAAATGGATAGTTGATGGCAGATACAGTGCTATCTCCATACCTGAGTCTCCATGTGGAAATGGTACTGGGAGTCACAGGAGATGGTTCCCTCTACTGTGCGGGCAGACTTTGCTATCGCAGCTGTGAGCAACAAACAAGCACACAGCTACACATTAAATACACAATAAAGAGATTTACAATATGACCAGCTATTGAAGCTTAGTTCAGGGAGACAAAACCATTTTCAGGAGGACAATGATTTGCACCCCCTCTCGCCCCTGCAAAGATCTCTGTATGTATTTGAATGGGCGCTAACCCTTGGCATCGCCAACTTCAATTGGCTGTCTTCCAGGGTCCTCAAAATAGCTCCCGGCAGCGATGGCATCGGCAATGGTGAGGAGGGGCTTTCCCTGAGATTCGTAGCTCACCTTCACTGCCAGCGCTATCTCATCAGCCTGGCGCTGTGTCTCTAGAGAGAGAGAGGGAGAGAGTTTTAGACAGCAATATGGGGGTGTGAAGGAAACCAATAGGGGAAATTCGATTTGACAATATAAACAGCATTCAGACTATATAGGGTGTGATGGGAAGGATGTAGAGTTCAAATGTTGACTAAATATAAGGTGAATATTCACACCACAAGCACACATAAACCAGTAGTCAAGGGTTCAAATCATCGATGTACCTGCAACTACTATAGCCACTGCCTGTCCAGCATACTCACATACATCAGACACCAGCACCTGAACACACACAGACAGAAAGGGAGACAAGAGGAGGGGAGGTGTGGTAATGGAGCATGACATGAGTAAGTATCACTGACTGGTTCAGCAGTCCCCATGGTCATGAAATTATTGTCCCCGGGAATGTCAGCAGCTGTTAACCCCTTGATGAACCCCGGCATTCCCTGCATATTATAACAAAATATATACACAAACGTGAACTTATGATATCACATACATGAAGAGGGCAAGTCACGTACGACTGTGATAGTGCATTCATTATATACCTCAGCTGTAGAGAAGTCGACACCAGTTATCTTGCAATTGGCCTAATCCAAAGAAACAGAAACGTGTCATATAAATGTGGGGTTCTTTTTGGAATATAATATTTTTTGTTCTTTCGTGCACTGGGGATGCAGGGAAACTGAAAAAATATATTGAGATACAAAACTATGAAGTACAAACACCTGAGGAGAGAGGACAAATGCGGCAGCACACTCGTGTGGAAGTGGAGGTACGTCAGTCGTGTACTCTGCCTCTCCTGAAGTCTGAGGAAGTAGTTTTTACAGGGAGCAAAATCAGAGCAGACGTTTTATACCTGGAGTAAGGCGGTTAGTTTGGTCATCGGCTCTGTGACGGGGTACTCGCTGGGTTTGGTACCGTAGGTCTGCGTTCCAGTTGACAGCGGTCGCTGGAACGGAACGGCGGCAGACTGCACTCGCGGGTCCACGTGGTCGTAAATGACCGCCAGATAGTACTGTACACGAGGAACAAAAGGAACTCCATATCTCTTACACACACACATACTGCTGTCGATGCCTACATACGTACATACCTTGTAGAAGAGGCTTATAGCAAGGGACTTGAGATACTTGGCACTGGAGGAAACGGGTGTGGTGACTGGAACTATTTCACCCTCAAGTTTTGCCAGAGCAGCTGGAAAATTAGAGGAGAATTTGTAAAATGACAATCAATGTATAATGTGCATACTGGTCAGTGTGTCTTTTTGCAGAAGATTAGCTCCTTCCAACATAGCAGCAGTTTGAGTTGCTTGAATCTATTGGAGTGAATGAGTGTGGACGATGTCATTGACTAAAGCTGCTGCGTGTGCTCACATCATGGGCCTGAATTCCTCCAAACACCAGAGTCGGTTCCCCGGTTACTGTCGAAGTGCTGCTGTTGAATTGCATCACGAACGCCGCATTCACATACGCGTGGGCATTCTGGGGAAAAGAGAAATTACAAGTTCTGTACACGAACCATGGTGAATGTAGAAGTTGTAATACCTCAGATCTTGGCATGATCTTATAGCTACGAAAGACAGTGTCTGCGCTCGCAAAAGGAATTTCCATGGACACAATCACCTGTATGGAGTAAACAAATAAAAACCTACAAAAAAGGACTTATTAGAACACTGACAACGTACCGATTTGCTCATGTCCAGAGTGAGGAAATCCCACAGTGACACTGACTGTGTACTGGACGAGGTGGCTATACAAAGAATATGTTACATACACCAGGGGATGTGTATTACTTCTTCCTCCACTCACCAATAGAGAGAGTGGCTCCCACAGCAGCCATCACTACAAAGACATCGGAGGGGAAAAAAATCATAGTTGTGAGTCAACATCAGGTTCCCAGCCCAGGAACCAACCTGTGAATATCAGAACCGAGAACCAAATAGCCACACACACACACAATATTATAATTCAGCAAAAAAAATAGCGGCAGACATGACCAATGTGTAAAAACGATTCTGCAAAATCTCACACGCAGACTCACGTTTCTAACGGGGAGGTTGGCAATGTTGGAGAGGTGGTGGGCTAGCTGGGAGAAAGTGGAGGGAGAGCTGTTCTTGTTGGTCTCCAGTAATCCAATGAGGACAGACAGGGGAACTGCACTGCCCACCAACAGAGATTTCTCTGTCAACTACACAAATAATAATGTCACCTTCACTACCAAATTGCATGTGGTATTATGGACTGTATGAATGTAAAGAGCTGAGAGATTAGCATGGCTGTTGTGTACGTACCGTGCTAGTGTATAGGTCTGGAATATGCTTCAGATCAATGTACACGTCTGCAACTGGAGGGTTCTTGAACACACCTGTAACACCACGCGTTCGTTTAACAATTTGCCGGCAAATACAGACTCTGCTGCAGCTTGCCTCGTCCAGTGTCTCCGGCCACAAGCCTCACGCTGCTCTCGGGGTGGGCCGAGAAGATGGAGAAGAGGTCCGCCAGGGAGGACGGGGCGTACCAGGCGGACGGAGTGACAAGCTCCCTCGTCGGACCCAGGTACGGTGCCGTACACGTGGACCTGGGGTTGCTGCAGGCCTTCCCGGTTCTCGGGCACAGCTTCTTCTGCACCTCCTGCACCAATAACAGGCCGTGGATTTTTTATTTGTGTGTCCTGATTTACGAAACTCTTGCAAAGACTCTATATACATACCTCAATATCTATGACTCCATTCTCCTTTTCAGCTTTGAACGAGGTCATTGCATCAAGAATCGGTCTGTATCCTGGACACAGTACATAGAAACAGCAGTGGAGACAATTAATCCATGATCTGGCAAGAGTAATTGCTGTTCCATGGTTCACCTGTACATCTGCATATGTTCCCATCAAAGATATCTGCAATTTGCTCGGCAGATGGAGCGGGGTTTTGCTGCAAGAAACTAGAAGACATTGCATCATCGCATGACGGGAAGGCCAGAAATTAATTGGGTATCCAAATCCTCCAACTTATGTCGGTTATACCCGAGACTAGCAGTTAATTGGCATACCTGTACATGTTCATTACAAAGCCAGGGGAGCAGTAGCCACATTGGCTCCCATTGTACTCGGCCAACCTCTGCTGTATGGGGTGAAACCCTGCCTTGGAGCTGAAAAATTTACCATTCACCAAATAATGGGCAATCAAAACTGTTGAGTAGAGGAAAAAATACCTCCCAATGCCCTCAACTGTGGTGATTTTCCAGCCCTCTACAGACAGCAGGGGACAGAGACACTGCGGGGAAAGAGTGGGCTTTCTTAGTGCCTTTCCAGCAGTATTATCAATGCTTTCCAGGGATCAACCAAGTCTTACGGAGTTGATAGCAAAGGTGGTCTCCTGCTGCGTGACGGGGCTCTGCAGAGACACTGCCACGACGCAGCAGCCGCATCCACCCTCGCCGCACATCTTCTTGGTCCCCGTCAGCCCCGGCTGGGATCGCAGCCAGTCGTTGAGGGTGATCGACGGCGTCACGCCCTGAACGTCCACTGGGGCACCGTTGAGCGTGAACGAGACGGAGGTTTTGGGCTCCACCGACGCGGCTTTGACTTCGATGTTCCCCATGATCTCTCTCTAGCTCTAGCACCAGCAGGGCATCAAAGCGCAGGCAGGCCGGCTTATTACCAAGCGCGTGACATTGTGCGCATGCGCGCAGGCCGAGTGGCACCTGAGCCACTCCCACGTCTCGAGCCATGCATGACTAGCTCTCACACAATTTCCCTAGCGGCCTGGATCCCCCTGTGTGTAGGTAGTCTACAGTTACAGATTGCGTAGAGCTATCTACATCACTTGCAGAAAGTCGTTTTTCGTCCCCAAGAAGACCTCCCTCCCGCCGGTCGATGTGTTCATCTGGTTGCTAAATCCCGAGGCCCGCCTCTCAGGGAAGCCGTGCAATAATCAAACTCGCAGCCATGTCCGCAGGCGACGGCGGAGACCCTACTGGGAAAGAATGGCAGCACTCTCGACGGCAAACACCTCATAAACCTCCGCCCGTAGCCGCGGTGCGGCACGAAAAACTCGCACGACGATGGCCGTTCCTTTTACAGTTGTTTGTCTGTCTCTTCTTCGTTTTGTTGTTGCCCGTCTCAGTCTCTTCCGAAGTTATCTGCGCGCACGCTAACTCAACCTGCTCTAACTGCTCCGCTCTATGCGGAGTTGCTCAGTTTTTCACCCTTCTACCCTCTCCCTGTCACCCAGAATTCCCTGCAGTGAGTCCTGTACTATCGTTGTTTACTACATTATGAGTGACACTCTAGTAACTATGTATAGAGCGGCAATGTGTGCATAGCCACTTGTCTAGTAAGCCCATATGTGCCCGCCTCCATCTCTCAGTAGAGATCCTCTCACATGCCCGGCATTCCTGACAGCCACCTCTTGATGTACGTAATGGTAACGGGAGACAGGGAATTATAGCTTATTCGCACACCCTGATATTAGGGACAGGATGCTATATCATATGAGGATTTCCGTACAGTGAAATAGGAACCACAGGTTCTCCAGGGGGGCAGACGCTCAGTACAGTAACCTTGAATATGTTAGAGTTGCATGCTTCATAATTATCATGTATCATGGACCTTGGTTGCATAAATTGGTGTCTAGCAGCTTCTTTTGTCCGAACATCTTCCTACGTTAATGTCTTGACCTTGCACCGACCTGACTATAGTAAGCCACATTCGACACACAACAGTGATCATGGTGTAAAAGAAGGTAGCTATTATAGGCACATGCCTTATAGAGAGAGAGAGAGAGAGAGAGAGTGTGTGTGTGTGTGTGTGTGCGTGTGTGCATGTGTGTGTGTGTGTGTGTGTTGCATACTGCGTAATGGATCGTTTGACAAGTCCCTTCTCATGTAATTTAACCAGTGTTGAATGTTACGAAGCCTCCACAATTAATTGGCAAGTTAAACCAGCCTGTCTAGTCAGCTTGATTTCTCTCTTAATTGTTTGTATGTGACCCACACTGCACCATACTGTGATGAAAATTCTGTCAATTATGCTCTTGAATTCGCTCACACAGTATTTGTTCTAGTCTATGCTCATATTCCTGTGTGTTTTCTACCTCTGTAGACCTCATATGACTATGGCAGTTCATCCTTTTCACTTTCTGGAGCCTCTCTCTCTTCTCCTATTGATCTCCTCCCAACAAATCTCGACAATTCATTCAGTTTGTCTACACGATTCAACAGGACCTCTGCCAATGGGTAAGTTTTTTCTAATGTCCAGACATCTGAAGACTTTCTTTTTTCAACTCTCTGATGTATGTCTCTCATTAGGACTTTACTGGACCTAGAGACTGACTCAGTGACTGTTTCTGTTTCGCTGGTTGATGGTGTTCCCCAAGTCACGCTGGGAACTGATTCGGTGTTGGTTGCAGCTAATATGTCATCGGAAAGCGTCTGGAATCATATTGTTGTCAGTTTCGAAAACACGACGACAGATTCACTAAATTCTCTGAAAGTCTTGATGTATTTAAACGGAGATCTAGAGGGCTCATTAGCCGCATCCCTCACATTTCCAACCAGTGTGCGATCAGCAACTATTGGCAGTGGGTTCACCGGCTTGCTGAAGGACGTGGGGATTTACGTTCCTTCACTAAGTGAAGCTGACCTGGACCCAACTCCAGCCAACTTAGTCCCTCAGTGCCTCTGCTACCCAGGCACAATCTCCACAACCAATACTTCCCTCTGTAATGGCAATACTATCAACAGGTACGCATATTGAACCCCCAGTGGTTTACGTGTATACACCGGTAGAATTGACTCAGTCATAACACAGTGAAATTCATGGTAGTCATTTTGGGTGTGAATAGTGATTCAATCGGGCAATGTGTCTCGATCCAGGATGCTGACAGGGCAGCTGTGTCTGTAACTCCATGACCGAGGTGTCGGTTTGTTAGTTCTGGCTTATACCCTATAGAGGGTTAGTATTACACCACCTCCCCTCCCACTCGTCGGGCTATTCAAACTGTGTATAATTTTGCGCATTATTCGCATAATGTTTGAGTATACAGTTATGCAAAATACCAACACATGTTTCTCATGTGATCGGTGTTAAATGCCTTAATAGGTAAGTCCTGTGAAAGGAAATCGTGACAAACTGAAAGAGCTGGAATTTGAGTGTAGGCATAATATTGTTTCAAACGCAGCCCCCAGTTATTTCCTTTATCTAATTTGTGGTAGCCATGGATTTTCAAACATAATAGTGCTACACGTGCTTTATGAGAAGTGTCACGTACTTCTTCATTGCACACCACACAAGTATATATTCAAAAATAGTACACAGCATGTGGCACGCTCTTGGTGGAATGTACTCAGAGAATTCATTGACTAACATGCCGTACATGCTTGGCATCACATGGTCTAATATCTTCATGCTATAGACTTTGAGCCCCTAGCTCAGCTACAGGTATATAGAGTGCTCTACCTAGACTGTAGAGTGTTGAGGGTTCGAATCCAACCCAGGGCAGCTAAAGAGTTGTCCTCGGTGTAATTGTCTTTTTTTGCCTTTGCTAATTGTCAAAAAATCTACATCATCTGTCACACTCTTGCAGATACGATGAGACTGCCCATGTGGTGGAGTTCTTGTTTGATGACTCAACCGAGACATACTGGGAGTCTGCAATGGGTGAGACACCGGTGACCGTCACACTGACACTGGCCTCACTCAGGAACCTATCAAAGATATTCATATATTTTGAGTCTGCACTGCCAACCTTTGCCACGTTGGAGTACATGGACGATTCCCAGTGGGTGCCACTGCAATACTGGGCCGACAATTGCACCAGTGCAGGGATCAATGAAAGGTCTGCCATGAATAGTGTAAGAGAATCTGATAATTTCATCATTTGCTTCTCCCAACAGTGCCAGCACACTCCAAGAAGCAATTTGTACCAGTACCCAAGGCACCGGAACATCACTTCAGTTTTTGGTAAATTTTAATTAATGTGCAATGATCTGTGCTAATCTCAGGGGAGATTCAATTATTAAGGGAACTATCCTTCTAGATTGCAGCTGGAGACCGACCCATAGCCACAAGCCAGGAAGATGTATTTCAGACGGATCAGCTTCGGTTAACCTTGGATGGATTTGCAACGGGAGTGTCTCAGTATGCCATTCGTGAGTTTGAAGTCTGTACTACATACTGCACAGACACCAGCTCACTTGTGACTGCACACAATTGACTGACACCACTTCTTCCGGGTTGCCTACGGAAGTAGTATCCACAACCGATTTTATGGCCTTGTCGACAGTTGCGCAGCCCTTCATCACTAGCTCTGACACGGTCGACACCACCATTATGGCCGCTTCCCAGATGCTTAGTCCAACACCAACTAGTACGTCACCAACAGTAGTACTAACTGCAGATTCAAGTTCTTTGCCCGCACAACAAACCTCTGCACAAACAACCCCTGATTTTGTCTCACAAACCACCTCTGATTTTGTCCCACAACCAACAACAGTTCTAGAGGCGAGCGGCTCTGGAGGTGTAGTTTCAGCTACAGCTGTAGTCTCATCAGAATCCCTGGAAACTAGCTCAGAGTCTGTCGACAGTTCATCTTCTGTCATACAGATGTCGTCGCTGGTTCCTTCGATTTCTCCCTTAGAGTCAAGCAGCACAGGAGGTGTAGGTTCAACTACATCTATAGTCGGAACAAGTGAAACTGTGACGGAAACTAGCAGCTTTGGGTTGACCAGCCGTACACCTGTGCCTGAAACTACATCTCAAGCTTTAACTCTACCTTCAAGCTCCACAATAGATTCTTCAAGTACCCGAGTTGCTTCAACCCCTACCCCCCAAACAACTGTAGTATCAAGCACCATACCTATCTTAGAACCAACTCCGGTGACTAGTAGTGCTGCAGTTGTGCAATCAAGTTCCGCAAGTACCAGCCGTACACCTGTGCCTGAAACTACATCTCAAGCTTTAACTCTACCTTCAAGCTCCACAATAGATTCTTCAAGTACCCAAGTTGCTTCAACCCCTACCCCCCAAACAACTGTAGTATCAAGCACCATACCTATCTTAGAACCAACTCCGGTGACTAGTAGTGCTGCAGTTGTGCAATCAAGTTCCGCAAGTACACCTGTGCCTGAAACTACATCTCAAGCTTTAACTCTACCTTCAAGCTCCACAATAGATTCTTCAAGTACCCAAGTTGCTTCAACCCCTACCCCCCAAACAACTCCGGTGACTAGTAGTGCTGCAGTTGTGCAATCAAGTTCCGCAAGTACCAGCCGTACACCTGTGCCTGAAACTACATCTCAAGCTTTAACTCTACTTTCAAGCTCCACAATAGATTCTTCAAGTACCCGAGTTGCTTCAACCCCCCAAACAACTGTAGTATCAAGCACAATACCTATCTTAGAACCAACTCTGGTGACTAGTAGTGCTGCAGTTGTGCAATCAAGTTCCACACTGCTGAGCTCAAATATCGACTCTTTCTTAACCACATCTCTTGTTGTGCCAGCTCCCACTAGAACAACAACTAGTGTTGTAGGGTCAGTTAGCTCTACTGTTGATGTCGTGGGCACATCTATAGCATTTATGGAGTCAAGTTCTGATGCTGGTTTTAACACTACAGTACCATCTACTGTTGTTGAGTCAGTTAGCTCTACCAGTGATGTTAGGAGTACATCTACACCATCTGTGGAGTCAAGTTCTACTGTTTTAGAGTCAGTTAGCTCTACTGCTGTTGATGTCACGAGCACATCCTCAGTACCATCTACTGTTGTAGAGTCAGCTAGCTCTACCGTTGATGTCATGAGCACATCTATACCATTCGTTGTGTCCAGCTCTGATGTTGGTTTAAGCACTGTCACCTTGGTACTATCTACTGTTGTAGAGTCAGTTAACTCTACCATTGATGTCATAAGCACATCTATTCCATTCGTGGAGTCCAGCTCTGGTACTAGTGTGAGCATTCCCACCTCTGTTCCATTCCAAGTTCAGTCATCGGTTACAAGTGTCATGGCTACTGTGACACTGGAGCCATCTCAGACCGCTGCCCAATCCTCTGATCAAATTACTACCGTGATTGAACCAACGGTCCAAATCAGCACTTCCAGTGAGTTTGAATTGACTCAGTCTTTAACCCCGACAATAACGAGTCCTGTTCAGATCAGCACTAGCCCCCTACCTGGTGTTACATCCACTGAAGTAAGAGAGTTGCCTAGTAGCACAACATTTTTAGCCTCTGAGCAGCCAGCGCCATCTAGTACATTCCTAACCACCCGAGACTCAAGCACAATTTTTACAACTTCTGCACAACAGAGCACCACTATTCTACCTAGTCCTACGCCAACAGCTCCACTATCATCATCGCTTGTAGAAGAAGCTGTGCTAACAACATCATTTACCAGTGAGTCATCGTTTGCTTTTACTCCTTTATTGCCCACTGCCGTGCCAACTATGACCCCTGAGAGCACTCCTGAAGTAAGTTCTCAGTCAGTCGAGCTGACTGTTTTGCTTTCAAACACTGCTCAGTTTACAAGCTCAGAGGTTTTCGAAGCTACTAGTTCAGTTGCAGTACAAGTTTCATCACCAGTGGTAACACCTACAGCTGTGTTTACCACTATCCAAGCTTCCCCCACCATCGATCTTACAGACTCTTCATCTGTGATTCCATCTTCACCAGTTGAAACAGTGGCCATAAGCACAACTTTGCCGTTAGTGCCAGAAGAGAGCACAGTCATAGTATCAAGCTCCATGGTGACCCAAGACGTGACATCATCGTCTATTATTGCTCCAATGTCTCTAGAGCTGTCTGCCAGTACAACACCAGTAGCAACACTGCTAACTGCTCAGTTTACAAGCTCAGAGGTTTTCGAAGCTACTAGTTCAGTTGCAGTACAAGTTTCATCACCAGTGGTAACACCTACAGCTGTGTTTACCACTATCCAAGCTTCCCCCACCATCGATCTTACAGACTCTTCATCTGTGATTCCATCTTCACCAGTTGAAACAGTGGCCATAAGCACAACTTTGCCGTTAGTGCCAGAAGAGAGCACAGTCATAGTATCAAGCTCCATGGTGACCCAAGACGTGACATCATCGTCTATTATTGCTCCAATGTCTCTAGAGCTGTCTGCCAGTACAACACCAGTAGCAACACTGCTAACTGCTCAGTTTACAAGCTCAGAGGTTTTCGAAGCTACTAGTTCAGTTGCAGTACAAGTTTCATCACCAGTGGTAACACCTACAGCTGTGTTTACCACTATCCAAGCTTCCCCCACCATCGATCTTACAGACTCTTCATCTGTGATTCCATCTTCACCAGTTGAAACAGTGGCCATAAGCACAACTTTGCCGTTAGTGCCAGAAGAGAGCACAGTCATAGTATCAAGCTCCATGGTGACCCAAGACGTGACATCATCGTCTATTATTGCTCCAATGTCTCTAGAGCTGTCTGCCAGTACAACACCAGTAGCAACACTGCTAACTGCTCAGTTTACAAGCTCAGAGGTTTTCGAAGCTACTAGTTCAGTTGCAGTACAAGTTTCATCACCAGTGGTAACACCTACAGCTGTGTTTACCACTATCCAAGCTTCCCCCACCATCGATCTTACAGACTCTTCATCTGTGATTCCATCTTCACCAGTTGAAACAGTGGCCATAAGCACAACTTTGCCGTTAGTGCCAGAAGAGAGCACAGTCATAGTATCAAGCTCCATGGTGACCCAAGACGTGACATCATCGTCTATTATTGCTCCAATGTCTCTAGAGCTGTCTGCCAGTACAACACCAGTAGCAACACTGCTAACTGCTCAGTTTACAAGCTCAGAGGTTTTTGAAGCTACTAGTTCAGTTGCAGTACAAGTTTCATCACCAGTGGTAACACCTACAGCTGTGTTTACCACTATCCAAGCTTCCCCCACCATCGATCTTACAGACTCTTCATCTGTGATTCCATCTTCACCAGTTGAAACATTGGCCGTAAGCACAACTTTGCTGTTAGTGCCAGAAGAGAGCACAGTTATAGTATCAAGCTCCATGGTGACCCAAGATGTGACATCATCGTCTATTATTGCTCCAATGTCTCTAGAGCTGTCGGTCAGTACAACACCAGCAGCAACACTGACTAGTAGTGTCGGCCTAGAAACAACTCCAACCCCTTTCTTGTCATCTTCTGCAGTATTGGCACCGAGTTCATCCACAACATCACCCACAAATTCGCAGGCTATATTCACTTCATTTTTGGTCCAGCCAACAACTTCATTTATTGGAGCTTTCACATCAACGTCTCCTGTGGTTCTACCATCTTTTGAAGTAACCCTAACCCTGCAAGCACCATCGACTAGCTCAGTGTTGCTTGAACCGACTCCAACCTCATCTCTGCTGGAATTCACCAGCTCAGTAATACAAATGCTGACCCCTTCTCCAACACAGAGTGGATCTGTGTTCAGCTCTTCGTTGTTTGTCGCGGAGACTCCAACCAGCAGCTTCAGTGTAGTGGTGTCAAGTGAAGTTGGAACATCCTCGGTGGTTGATGAGTCCATCTTTCCCACAACTATGGATATCTTAACCTCATCTACAGTGGTGGTTGAGGATTCACAGTTTATCTCTCCCACAACCATGGACGTCATAACAACAACCGCAGTTGTCCTTACACCAACCACAGTCGTGGTGGTTAGTTTAACATCATCCCAAGCACTGCTCACCTCTGCTCCGACAACTACGCAAGTGGGATCACTGACACCCACCACTAATGCAACGGAAACATTTCCCTTTCAAACCACAAGCATTATTCCAGCTGTAAGCATGTCAAGTTTTCTCGATTTCACTGTGCAACCATCACTTGAAGTATCCACCATAGCCTCAACACCTTTTCTCAGTACTACTATTGGGCCAATGCTGACACCAACTCCAACCTTTTCAAGCAGCCTTGCTTCACTGTCTACTGAGCTCTTTGTTCCCCCAGCTACATTTTCTTCAGAATTATTTTTTCCTTCAGTATCGGTTTCAACATCTGTCTCTGCATCACTAGAGACCACCACAGCTTTTCTTACTTCTACTCCGACTCCTACTCCATCGTTCTCAGAAGAAATATTCCTGACGACTTCCACGACAGGGCTAACATCGTTCACAATACAACCATCAAGCACATTTGATGTTGTTGCAAGCCTGTCATTTGCCACAAGTTCTGTACAAACGTTTTTGTCTACGACCCCCGTCTTTATGCCGTTAACAACATCTTTTTCCGTTGAAACTTCATTTGTCCAAACTGAAACTCCCAGCATTACATTTTCCACTGCTGCAACTTCAATGCCGTTTACTATAGACATATTTCCAAGTAGCACAGTTTTTACTTCGGTTACTCCTGTTGAGACTACAATCACTGAAACTCCACAACCAACTAGTAGCAGTATTATATTTGTGGAATCAAGTACTCCATTGATCATTGGCCCTTTTACTTCTTTGCTCGAGAGCTCAGTGTTTACCAGTACTCAGTCAACGGCGAGCTTAACACTGGGTGTGTCTTTCAGTACATTTCTCGCACTATCTCCATCTACATCATTCATAGTTCCAGTCACCGACACAGCAGTGTTTGGTGCCTCTTCCAGTGTCCTTGAAACATTCACACAACTCCCGACTCTTTCCCTGTCATCAGAATTTATTTTTCAACCTACCACAACTGTGCAACAAGTGACACCAACACAGACTCTGGAGCAATCCTCAAGTTTCATACTGTTTCCAATGACAAGCTCAATGTTTTCCCCTGGGATTTCCACACCATTCACTGTACAGTCACTGACCATTACTCCATCCCCTACACTGACTATTGAAGTCAATCCTACTCTGACATTTACCAGTGAGCCATCATTTGTTTTTACTCCCTCAATGAGCAGTCTAACAGCTTTTGAGCCCATCACGTCTTCTGAGTTCTTGCCAACTTCTTCTTCAGTTATAGGCCTTACACTGATTCAATCAACTCCAACATTTACTCTGACTCTATCGCCTACCTCCACACTTGTGTCGCCAACTGCATTTACAACTACACCCCTTCTTACTGAAGTATTGACCACCTTCACTTTTATGACTGAAACAATGCAGAGCATGTCGTCAACCATAATCTTTGTACCTCAGACAACAACTGTACGGCTGACTCCTGAACCAACACCATCTTCAGTTCAGCCAACCTCCATACCTTCTTTTATAGTTGAACCTACCTTTACTCTTCAGGCAAGTTCAGCTGTAGTAACCAGTGAAGTGAGTCCAACGCCATTCGTATCTTCACCTGAGGTGCTGCTCTCTTCCACATCATTCGTCCAATTTCCAGAAACAAGCTCAGTACTTGTATTACAACCAACGTCAACCGTTGCTTTTGAACAAACCCTGTCAACTTTTGAATTCACCCCATCCCCAGTCCAGTCAGTGACTACAACACCTGAAGCCAGTTTCACTAGCAGTGTGTTAGCCACCAGCAGCACACCGATTATTGTTGTAGAAAGTAACAGCAGTGTGTTAGCCGCCACCAGCACACCAATTCTTGTTGTAGAGAGTAGCAGCAGTGTGTTAGCCGCCACCAGCACACCAATTCTTGTTGTAGAGAGTAGCAGCAGTGTGTTAGCCGCCACCAGCACACCAATTCTTCTTGTAGAGAGTAGCAGCAGTGAGTTAGCTGCCAGCACCACACCAGTTCTTGCTAGCATGAGCAGTGTGTTAGCCACCAGCACACCCATCCTCTTTGCGGAGAGTAGCTCATTCTTCTTCCAGCCTACCTCTACTCTGGTTGCTCCTCCTAGCTCAACACCATTGCTTTCCTTGGCACTGTCTGCTTCCATCCAAGTGCCTTTCTTCAGTACCAGTTCCTCAGTCGTGCAGCCTGTTACAACCACAGTATCTCTCCCATTCTCAATGTCACCTACACCAACACCAACCCCTGAACCATCTTCCATTCCCAGACTTCCACCTCTAGCACCACTCACTCTGGTTGTCGACGGCCTGGGGAGCCCCCTACAAGATCGACCGATACGTCTGAATGACTCGGATGGTCTTCGCTATGAGGCAAACGTGGGTGCATACATTGGCATTACTGGGGATGATACAGTAGGGAGAGTAAATGTCAGTTTTGGAGAATTCTCAGGTCACTCAGATCAATTCAGCCAAGTTCCCAGTAGCTCAGTGAATATCGAAGCGACATTAGCCAGTAATGAAATATGGCCTGACAACCCACGGATTGTGCTTGCTGTACAAGTGAGAGACAATCTACTACTGAGCACAAGAGACTTGAATCAGGAGAACGTGACAGCAGAAGTAAATCGTTCATCGTTACAAAGTGCCAGAGGTAGCTGCAAGCCAGACATCGAATCTGGTGTTTGTGTCATACACATTGATCTTGACGATAGTTGGTTCCCAGCCAGCAACGATATTACAGTTGATGTCCACGTTTCACATCGATTTGGGAACACTACTACCTTAAATGCCACATTAAAACCAACAGTCCCAGTGGATAATAGCAGCAGCCTTTTCATGGTGCTCCCAATGCATCCAGTGTTCCCTGGTGATGAAATCTCCATTCGTGTCTATGCGAGATATGAGTACCTGCTCACTAGTTTCTCCCTCATCTGCTCCGTCGGTACACCAGCCTCAATTCTTGGTTTTACTGGCCCTACAAACTGGAGTCTTGTACAGTCTTTCGAAGCCAATGACCCCAGTCAGGTGCGTGGGTCAGTCACAGGATTCAGAAACTACGATACCGACAATGTAGCCCCAACTAATCTTGGGCCAGAACTTCTCACAAATCTGTCAGTAGATGTAGGCCACGTTTCATCACCAGTAGAGCTTTCTGTTGAGTGTAAGGCAGTGGGTTTGCTACTTACTACTAAAGATAGGCCAGAGATAGATATTTATGCAAACGCCACTGACAGGATGAGGGTAAGATCTGGACAGGGACTTCTCTTTGCTCAGCCTATATCTGTCATCAAACCTTTTGCCCACTCCAGCATCAACCAGCTCATAAACATTGCTTATCTTACTGGCACACGGCAATATTTGAACCTTTCAGTTCAGGCTTTCCATGTGGATGGTTCTTTGACCCCACTGGCGGAAAATCTCACATGTATTTCACAGAACCAGAGCATTATAAAGGTAGAGAGTGGCTGTTCGTATGTGTATCTTGATGGTACAGAGACCACTGGTGGTGAGACAAATATAGTAATTATGGAGAATAACAGCATAAGTGAAATCCCGTTCAGAGTGTGGCTACCTGATTATACTTATATTGAACTCGAAAATGACACACTGAACAAAATTGATACGCCAGAGTGCTCAGATAACTCTACTGTTCTCTATCAGACAACTCGTGTGCATGTAGTGACCACACTTCACTCCTTGAATCGGCCATCCATTGAATTTGTGTACATCACATCAGAAATACTGCCCTACCTGAAAACCAATGACAGTAACACCATCCAAATAAATGACACTTCCGGTGAGGTAATGGCCTTAAGAGCTGGTTCGGCTGAAATATATTGTGAGGGAACCAGAATCGACTCAAGACAGGTGACAGTGAGTGATGTAGACCCAGTTACAGTGCTGTATCTCGATGTCTTTGTATTTAGTGGTATTAATGTGAGTCTCATTGGTGGCAACAGTATGCCAACAGCGGTCGACATAAACCTTCTTCAGGATTTTGCCCATGTCAACTCTGAAGTGAGCGTTGTAGGCGTGGCTGTGTTTAGTGATGGACGACGACAAGTAATTGACCCAGACTCTGCAATAATTACCCCAACTACTAATGGGACCCTTTCAGATAATCAGCGTGGACGATATATGATCACAGAGAGCGTGAGTGAAGTTGGATTTAAGTTCCAGTGGATCATATCTTCAGGGTGTATCATAATAGAAGATGAAAATGTCACTTCTTTCGACAGTTCTACACCTACATCACTGAGTGTATCTGTTGATTCTAGTACAGTGGCTCCCGAGGGAGACCCAGCTAGCCTTGCTGGAACACCTGGTGCTGTTAATCTGGTGGTTTATCTTGTGTATGAAGACCGAGAGGTTGATATCACTCTCAACAGCAACACCATAATCCAATTCCCCGAATATCTGATTACTATTGAAAATGGTGTGATTAAAGCTAATGGGTCAATGACTAATGGAACTGCTAATATCACAGTAAACTTTGAAAATCTAGTTCGAAAAACTACCATAACTGTAGTGAGAGGAATAGGGCTAAATGTGTCGGCCCACCCATTCCCCCCATGCGAAGGCTCTGGGAACTTTCCAGTGACGATAACTATTAAGAAAATCGGATCATCCTTTCAGATGGTAGAGATTGAAGTGAAAGTGATGAATTCAGATGGCAATGAACACACAGTACCCATGAACAGTGACTTATTACAAATCACGGCTGGAGAGTATTATAATGAGTTAAATGGGAGTGTTTTAGCATTACCTGATAATGCTACTTCTCCAGTAACCATCATGGCTGTGTTTGGAAGTCTTGATGAAAGAGCTGGAAATAATGGTTGAAAATGAGGAGCTAAGTGTCGAAACTATAACCAACATGACGTTTACTCCCTCTGGGCTGAACCAGTACCAAATTGAATTTGGTATAACCTTTGAATGTGGTATCTCTCTTACCTCAATTTCTACCAGTCAATACCCAAATCTAGTTGATTTCAATTTTACATCAACTGCTTCAGACGTCATTGACATTACTGATACTGGTATCATTAATGTTCTATCGAACTTCAACAAGTTAATTGAGATCTGTGCAATATCTAATGTTAGTGTGTCGACTTGTGCAAACTTTACTGCTAATCTGCAACCAGGGAGTGGAGAAATTGACCTTGGACATGAAACAGTGAATGGGGGTGAAGTCGTGTCAGTGTTTTTGAACCTCAACGATTCAAGAGTTGGTATATTCGAGATGGACCTCAAATTTGACAGTGGTCTCTTGGATTTCAGTGACCTCACACAGGGGAGTGACTGGGAGAGTGGTCAGATTGTGTACGTGCCCCCAGCCGGCACCGAGAGCAGCGTTAGTTTTGGTGGCATTCTCCATGCAGGTGCCCAGGGACCTCGACTGCATCTAGCCGACGTTGTTTTCACCACAGGTGGAGTGGCCGGGAGGGCAAACTTCAGTGCAAACGTAAGCTTCATAGCCATGAATGACGTGGACACTACTCCTCTGGCAACCGATGCACAGCGGGTGTCAGACTCTAGCCGCATCAGTGTGGAGATTTACAGTGAAAGGAGAAGACGCAACGCATACGAGCCACCGCTGGCACCCCCGCCAGTACAGGGACACGGAATTAGAAGACTCAGACGGGAAACCAATTCTGCCGACTGCAACGTGGTGGGCGACACAAATGGAGACTGTGTCGTGGACCTGAGGGACGTGTATCGACTCCAGTTGTATGTGGCTGAAAGTGTGCTCAATTTCTCATCTTCCACCGGACAACTGCTTCAACAAACCATCGACGAGAGAACACTTACACAGCTGGACTTGGATGGGGACGGCGAACTCACACTCACCGATATCCTAGAACTGGAAATAATCACGCAAAACCTGGCATACGAAGCCGATTTCAACGCAACTGTTGATTTCAACGCAACGATCGATAGATGTGCCATTGATATATATGGACACATTGAATCGCTCAGTGGCGAGAGACCACCAGCTGAGGCCAAAGTCCAGTTGATCATTGAATTTCTCTCAACAGAGTCAGATTTCGCAGGCGTGTTTGCCAACATGACATTCGCAAGCACTGGGATCGATAAATCAGATCCGTACCAACACCCGTACTATGGCGGAAAAGTGAGAATGGCCCTAGAGCCGGAACCTGTAGAAACAGACTTCAGGCTCTATGGAACAGCAGAGGCTCTGTCTGTCAGTTTCAACGTGTCTGTTGCAGTGGTTGTCACTAAGAATGGGACAGAGAATGAGGTTCTTGCCTTCAGCAGTGAAGTCAGTGATTTTGAAGAGGCACAAAATCTGCTAAGTTTCGATTCCCATGAGTTTGTCAATGCTCCTGGTATAATTGCATCAGGTGTGTGTGTACCACCAAGCACATCTTTGGTTGGCATGTCGAGTACTTCTTCTATTGCTCCCACCCCGTCTCCCTCTGTTGATCAACTCACTACCACTCTCGGTGGAGAGACAACTTCTGCAGATATGTCTACCTCACTTTCTAGCCCTTCCTCTACAATTGCCCCCACTGTGTCTCCCTCAGTTAGTCAGTTCGCCTCTGTCGGTGGAGAAATAAGTTCCGCATCCATTTCTAGCACTTCCTCCATTGCCCCTACTTCGTCACCCTCTGTTAGTCAGTTGGCCACTGTCAGTGGAGAAACAAGTTCAGCATCAATTTCTAGCACTTCCTCCATTCGGGCCACTGCCTCCTCAGTCAGCCAATTAGGCTCTGTTAGTGAAGTAGCTTCAGACACATCGTCCACCACTATTTCTAGCACTGTCTCCACCCAAAGCCAAAGTCCTACTCCATCACCATTGTCGTCTTCATTGCCTTCTCAGACATCCACATCTCGTACTCAGTCAGAACAAGTCAGTTCTTCTGCTATTTCACCACTAGCCACTTCTCCATCGCCCAGTACAGAACCCTCCACAACAACCAACGAAACATCTGTTGCACCGAGTACACAGCCAATTGTTAGCTCTTCTACGACAGTTCCTAGTCAATCGTCCATTGGCGAACAAGCCACTACTACCTCTTCAGCAGGAGCCGGCATTGAACCATCTATGAGTAAACCATCTTCCTTGTTGGTACATACTTCTCAAACATCTACAGATTCCAGCATTTCCTCCACCTCCACACCTCCGCCACTGCCCGAAGACGAACCAGTAGCGGGTACTAACAGCGCTGGAATCATAGGTGGAGTGCTGGGCGCCATCATAGTCTTGCTGATCATGACTCTGGTGGGGATTGGCCTGGTTAGGTTTACACGGAGAAAGAAGGGTCACTACCTGGTGGACGAGAGCAGTGGTGTGCACATCAGGAGGAACAGCATGATCTCTAACGGTTCTAGTGACTTCTGGAGACAGGCCGAAAATGGAATTGTAAGTTGAACACAAAAACTGAGTGTGTATATGTGGGTCTGTGTGTATATTCATATGACATTTCTCTGTAATCATAGGAGATGAGTCCAATTCACAGCAACATTGACATAGTTCCACTGGACCACTACGGCAGCATGATAGAGACCAACATTGACGTGGTGGCCAACCACAACATCATCATGAGTGACGATCCGTACGGCTCCACCAGCCTCAAACCTCTCATTCCCAATGGGAACTCTCCCGAGAGGGGCCCGCCAAAGAAAGGCCCTGCTCCAATGGGATCCAGAGCACTGCAGGTTAGTAAACTTTCCCACAGCTGCTTGCCAGCTACAAGATTCACCCTTTCCCTGTCCATACACTGAAGTAATACTTCATTTCTCTTCACAGAGTGCAAGCTATGCTGACACGGGCACCATTCATACTGGAGCCACCACCATGGTAGGCTACACAAGCAGCTCAATGGAGAGATCGACTGACTACGACGAAGATGAGGACGAAGGACAGCTCGTTCTTCCTGACTACGATGCCTCCCAGGCCTACCTCTCTCTCGGTCTCACCCCGCTCTCTCAACTATCGCCAGACACACACACATCCACAGATTTCGGATACTTTCCGTCAATGCCCCCGCCAGTTGCTTCCTCCACATCGTCCATATTCTCAACGACTCCCAGTAACAGCAGTCTGGCAATGGACAACCCCTTCAGTCTTCACAGTGGTGGAAGTGGACAGGGCAGTGGGATCATCAACAGCTCCATGATGCCTGATGCCATCCCAGAGAGACGGGGCCGCAGGAACAAGTACGATGCCCAACCTCTGTCGCAAGGCTTTCCCCTGAGACTGGAACCAGTGCCTGAACAGAGCCCATCAAATAGCCAGTTCTCCGGGAAGCAGAATGAACTTTCCAGCTCCGAATCTTCAAAAGGCAGCCCGTCACTCTCCACGAATTTCATGTTCCCATCGGCAGTTCCAACACAAGAGTTCTGCCGTCTCTCCCAGGGAAGAACTGCTCTGAGGGTGAAGCGTCCGGGAGGAAAGGGAAGCAGCAGAGAAAACTTGAATGCAGTATCTCCGAAAAGAACCACTGTGCAGGGTGGGGGATATGGGAGCTTTGGAACATCGCAGCAGATGAGAAGATTCAAATCAAGTTCATCGCCAACAAAGACGAGGCATCGAACTCGAGACCTTAGACAACAAGAGGAACACGAGGAGAGCATGCGGCCATGGGCCCGTGGCAGTCCGGAACCTGAGTCCCACTATCCTATGGGGAACGGATTCGATGACATGGTCAATGGTCACAGGAGCCCTCCACTTGGTGAGACTCATTTCAACAGCATGGAAATGATGAAGAGGCCGTCTTCCCGGACTCGTAAAAACTATTCCACGAGTAATGGAAGCACCAATCAAATGGATGAATCATCCCCTCACAAGTGGACACCTCGGCGTGCACATCATGCTTCGCTGGACGACAGCCCAGTCAAGTCTTACAGAGCAGAGCGCTCCGACAGTGCACGGCTCCGCACTACCTATGAACATAGATAAACATAAATTTTCTTTGATCCATTTTTGTCCATGTGTGTATGTTTCATAAGTCATAATTTTTATACCCATCTACCACTTAGTGTGACGGATAGGCGCGGGTAAGCGCTTATAGCGCGCGATGGAAGTGGGTGGGGCGCTATGCGTTGCCGGCCGCCAGTGCAGGCAGTGTGTGCTTGCACTGCCTTTGTCGAGCCGCAGCCTGGCTAGCTCGGTAGCTAGAAAGCCGGAAGCTAGCTGCAGCTAGCTGTCTTTGCAGTCGTGCAACAGCTAGCCTGCACAGCTGGCTGCAGAGGAAGGAGAGAGATGATGGAAATAGAGGAATCCAGCTGTCCGTCGGAGTCCGGCGAGGAGGCCGGCGGGGGGAAGGACATCCGAGGCTCATCAGTCAATTCAGAAACAAGCGAAAAGTCGAGGTGATATACTGTTCACCGAGAAAACATTGAGCTTGCTATGTATACGTTTCATTGCCAGTGTTTTGATCGAAATTCCTCCCTCCAGTGATGCAAATTTGAGCGTGTTGTGGACTGGGTCTGCCGGCAAGACTCCACTGATACAGTTTCGCGCTGATGCCCTTCTTGGACTGGAAACTCCTCCAGACCACCCTTACTCAGGTTAACACACAACCTTTCAGTTTCTTAACAAACACACACACACTGACTCCTGTGTTCAGGCAAGTTTTCAGTCAGTTCTCTGGCTCTGTGCAGGTAACCATCGACTGACATTCAAGCTGTCAGGGGAGAACCGGTTGGTGCACACCCTCCTTCTATCACACGGATTCTCAGAGGTTTGTGTGAATAATACGTTCTTAGCGCAGGGTTGGCTGGGCCCATTCACCTCAATTAAAATGCTCAAGGCCTACAGCCAAATTCCATCTTATATCATTTCGATTGTGGTCAGAGCAAAGGGGGTAATTAATATCTGTTGTCACCCTTTACTTCTCTTGTCTCACTAATGTAGGTATCATTGATGAATGCTCGATTCAACGTATACTGGTCGGGCTCTCACATACAGATGTCGGAGATTAGGGCACTGATGCCCCACCAGAGAATTAACCACTTCCCTAGGTCATCATTATACACCCCCTATCATTACATGGTTCCCATTACTGTGTGTCCTGCAGGTCCTACATGATCACAAGGAAAGACAGGCTCTGTCAGAACATATCAAGGATGCAGCATGCAAAGGTGCCCAGATCTAAAACGTTACACCTTCCATTACTGCTGTATATATGCATTTGTACATTACACTACTATACACCTTCGCTCATAGGGTGTGAAGCACTTCAACATTATACCAACTACCTTTGTACTTCCTGACGAACTGCCTCAGTTTCGAGGTCAGTGGGCTGTGCATGCTACTGTGTTGTACCTGCTAAGTGGAATCCAGAACCCCACTAATATTATGCACTATCCTATTTGGTGTCCTTATTTCGACAGGTTAAAAATTGCTTGTTCTTTGGGAAAGAAAAGGTGTCCCTTTTAGAGATGTGTCCCAGTATATTATTCGCAGAATTTTTACGAAATTTTCTGTTTAGTTCACTTTAGGAAAAAGCGTGGGACTTGGATCGTGAAGCCTGTGTCATTATCCCGCGGCAGAGGAATCACCATCATAAATCATGTCAGTAAAATTATTAACCCCTGTCCTTGTCTCTCACTCGCCCTGATTCCCTCTCTTTCTCTCTCATAGCCAAATCAAGCAAAGAGTGACGAGCCAATGGTAGTGTCTCAATACATCGAGAGACCTCTGATTGTCAATGGTATGTAAATAGGTGCCCTGGCTCCTAATATATAGCGCCTCAATGCTACAGCGTTAGTGTGTTTTACTACACTGCATTGATTACTCCAACTGAAGCCTCTGTGCAGGGCATTCCTGCTTCAACCAACACTCGCTATGTTACAACGGGTGGTACTACCTCTTATGCAACAGCTTCAGACACATTACGGGAAAACTCGCACTTCATTAGCTATTCTTTACAGCATTTCGTCCCTTGCCAGGCTACAAGTTTGACCTGAGGATCTACGTGGCTGTGACATCGTTCAACCCACTCAAGATATACATCTACGAGGAGGGGATGGCCCGGTTTGCCACGGAGCACTACTCTGGGCCAGTTCAACTGGACAACCTCTGCATGCACCTCACCAACTACAGCGTCAACAAGAAGAGCACCCAGTATGTGAGGTAAGGCCCTCCCCCACTCTACTCTGTATAACTATTTGTGCTGTTAAAGATTTGGAGATCTTACCTTTGTATGCGAGCTGCTGTTTTTAAATGATCGCCCAGAAGCTCCTGTAACCTATAGCATTCTATTGCAGGTAGCACAGGTGGGCGTAAAATTGGCAATTCCTAGTGTGACCGCCAAACCACCAAATTTATGTTCATATATTATATTAGTGATTATTCTGTGTGTATAGGTGTGACAGTCCTGGTAGGGATGACTACGGGTCGAAATGGAGTATGAGTGCCTTGTTGAGACACCTGCAGGAGCAGGGAAAGAACGTAGCAGGTTAGATCAGACTCCAGTCAACGCATGCTCTACCTGTCATCTCTCGTGTGTGTGTGTGTCTGTAGAGATGATGATGAAGGTGGAAGATGTCATCATCAAGGCCCTGATTGCAGGAGAGTCCCACATCAGCTCTGCCTGCGACGTGTTCCAAACTCACAGAAGAAGCTGTTTTGGTGAATAGTGTATGCTACATGAGCATGGATGCTAATAATTGGCAGTATATGTCCAGTAATGCCATATATAGTCCTTAGCAGGGGAACTGGCAGCTAACTTAGCCACCTAAGGAGACAGCCAAGCATTACTACATCATCTCTGCAATTTTTTAGAGTTGTACGGGTTTGACATTCTGATAGACAAAGACCTCCGACCGTGGCTATTGGAGATCAACCTCTCTCCTTCCCTGGGATGGTTAGCTAGTCATGTGACAGTCACGTGACGCACGCACATGATCTCGCATCCCCTCCCCAATCCAGTGATACTCCGTTTGACCTGCGACTAAAGTCAAATCTGATTGCCAATCTCCTCACGTTGGTCGGTGTGCCCCTCTGCGACCCCTACACTCGAGAAACTCCAAAACCACCAACTGACCACCAACACCGTCGTCCGACCCAGACATCCTGGACTCGAGAAAAAAATCATCGACGTCTCTGTCATCACGTGCTCTAACGAGCGAGGAAGCGACAATGGTGAGAGATTGCTGGCAAGAGTACGAGAGGAGGTGTGGTTTCGTGAGGGTTTTCCCCTCCCATGACTCCTGGGACCTATATAGGTTAGCCACACACAACACTGCCTTCCGCCACATACTGTATACATACATATCAACTGATGTCGATTTTTAGTTCACTTTTGGAGAGCAAAGGACGTCTCAACTTCATTCTTCACCAAGAACTCTACCCTGGGAAGTGGGTTGTAGTATGCAAGCAGATATCTGTGTATTGAATTTCTACTCTCCTGGTACCACAGGATTAAGGGACCCTCGCATTCTCCCACTCCTCTGTCCACAGTCATAGCTAAGAGGTATGCCTCACTCTATGGGTAATTGAAACATGTGTGTTTTGCCTAAGTGTCTTTGCAGGTTTTTTTTACCCACTTAACATTTTCTCCTCCACCTACAGAGCGAGTATTTCAACAACCACACAAACGGTACGTCCAACACAAACTAGCAAAATCCCTCACAGAAAACAACTTGCATATTCACGTGCACTAGACATGTACCTTATGCTGGGTTCACAATATATCGCATTGCCCCTTCGCACCATGCTATCCTCACGACATGGCAACAGGGCACGGCACGACGAGGCAATGCAACTAATTGTGCACCTAACATAAGCTATGGCGGGGCTCAAAACCATGCACTGCTGATTGCTGCGTGTACCTGCTGTTCCAATGTCCAGCCCTGTGCGTGTGACCCACCCGAGGGTCTACTTCCTCTGGAGAGAGTGGCCGTCTATCTCAGGAAGCTGGAGAACGGGCCCAAGTTGAAGCCGCTCTGGGACTCAGTCTGTGAACTACTCTGGAGGAGAGACTCTCCCGCCACAACTGGTGAACTTTTAGTAGACCATGTGGGCAGAGTTTCAGACAGGGGAAACTTTTTAGCCTTTTAATAATGCAGAGCAGATAAACATAGAGCATAATGTTAGGTAGTTAACCGACTAGAACAAGACGAGGGATGATTGGCTTGTGCTGGGTTTGGACATTTGGGTTTGCTGAGTGCCACCGGTTTTTACTGTTTTGAATGCTACGCACCTTGTGAGGAAAAATTTTTCGGATGTGTACACCTGCAAATATACCGTTCACAGTATCTGGACTTGGGACCAGAACTGAAGCTGGTGCACTGCTCCAGACAGACATCAGTTCACCAACTCCTGAGCCAGTCCAGTCTCTCTTGACCAACATCAGGAAACTCAGGTGCTAGATGCAGTGCAGCACAAACTTGCTCAGACAGCGAGCGTATATGACTCTATTCCCTGCCTTTCTCCTCTCCTTTCCCCTTCTCTGTTCCTTTGCTTAGTAAGGTCCAGGCACGTAGGCTATTTGCTGTCTATCTGGAGCGAGTTCGGGCAAGACTCTCCAAGGAAACAAGGTGTGTGTAGTCTTTTGCTTGGAGCCAACCTCTAATCCTTTCCTTACTTCTCAGCACTCTATATTTGAAATCCCAGGAAGCTCAGGATAAAGCAGTGAGTCATCTCTACCACTTCTTACATACACACACATGAACAAAATACACCATGTGATGCCAAGAGAGAAAAAATGTGGAGCTCTGGACAGCTGTTTCTGGCTTGTTGGCCCTCATCAGCAGAGCATACCACAACTTCTCTCTCTGGCACCAAGAGTTTATAAAGGCAAAGTTGAGCGGGAACTTGTGGTTTTCAACTAATGAGATTCATCCCCACAAGGCTGCATGTTTAACAATGCTGTTTATTGCCTAGAACTTGGATGTGATCATTCATTTCTTGAAATGTGCTGCAAAGAGTCTTTGCTCGCCATTCACTCTCATTGAGCCCGGTACAGAGCTCCCAATGAGGCACAGGTACATACATACATGTCTCTTTCATCATCATTGAGGTCTGAGCGTAAATGACTGTTGTCTTTGCCAGGAAAGGGATGTTGGCACGTCAATTGGCAGAGTTTATAACACTCTACACTAAGGTATATACATAGATCTATAGGCTACACATGTTTGAATGGCTTGTTTATTGGTTGTCGCAGGAGACGGAAGATTTGGCTGCTAACCCAAACCAGGCTCTCGGCTTGCCCGGAAAGGTGTTAGATGCAGCACTCTCAATCGCAAGGTTTGAACCCCTACACCTCCACAAGTGAAATATGTAGCTACACTTATCTATGTATATTATAGTGAGAAGGAACTGGAGAGGTTACTAGCAGCTTATGCTGAGCACAGTCACTCATCAGCAGTCCTGTTTGGACCCTCTGCCAGATCTTCATGGGAGAAACCCAAACCTCGTGTACCCAAGAGTGGGAAACATGTGCTGTCGCGGCATTCTCATCTCTCCCGAGTGCTCCAGAGGCAGTCGCGTGTGTCTCGGTCAGGTTCTCCACATCCATCAGGCAGCCACCACGACTCTTCCTCACACACCACCTCAACTGCTTGTAAAACACTTGGTGTTGGATGTGGTGACGCATTGGAAGCACTAACTGGCTCCTTGCCTCCTTACGATTTCAAGAAATACTCTGACAGACCTGTCGAGACTAGCTACTGGACTTCTGGCCACACACACTCTATGCAGGATTCAAGTGGGTATGCAGGTGATGGTGTGAGGGAGGAGGTGAGTAGGGAAGGATTGCTTCCGCGCAGTCCAGAGAGGTGGGTAAGAGAAGCGGAAGGTGGGTTTAAGGAGGAGGATAAAGGTGCGAGGAAGAAGATTGGTAGGGAAGGGTTAGTATGTCAGCAGAGTCCAGAGAGGTGGGCGAGGGGAGAGGGGGGAGCGAGAGAAGAGGGTAGTGGGAGACGGGCAAGAGGCAGAAGATTGCTGCGAAGAACTCTATCAAACCAATCTCTACATTCTCTAACTTCAAATACATCAGGTAAATTCACTATGTGCTTTCAGCCATGCATGCGTACTAATCTTGCATCTTGTGTTTTCAGTGCAGACCAAGCAGTCTGTGTTGCAGTCTTTTCGAACCAACTCAAGTGAGCTCAAGTCTACATTGTACATCTGTCCACGGTCCATAGTCAGTCTCCCCTGTGTTTATTACCATTGGCGCGCATGCGCAGCGAGGGTACTGTACATGTAGTTGGGGTTACTCTCAATCTCACTTCTCGGGTGTCTGTTCGTCCCAGAAACGATACCATCTACCCAACGGGCGACGAGGGTCCGAAATTTTCTCTGAAAATGATCCGTTGCAGAGCTAGAGCGCTTCCAGGCCGGTAGTCGCGCTGGCGGATAATGCGCATGCGCTTATATTTAGCTCCGCTTGCTCTGTCTATCTTGAAGGCACAAGAAGTCACACGAACGGCGTGTATCGACTCTCGCGTGCTATCCACTACTGTATACGGTGGCCCGTATCAGACTCTCTGCGAGTTACTTCGCCGAGGGTTTGCACTTTAGTGCTTTTCATTTAAAAAAAATGTTTTGCACTAAACAATCCACGGGTAATACGAAAATTAATAGAGAGATGAAAGGTTGGCAATTTTTCGACCTTATATATATTTTTTCCCTCAAACAGAAATGGGGCTGGCCATTTTTTCATAGTGCATAACATGCTGTTTTTTTAATGCATGGTCAAGACCATCAATTGTGGTGGTGCCACACTTGTGTATGGGTTCCACATTTCTATATAGTGTGCGAGGGTTTGCACTTTAGTGCTTTTCATTTCTGATGCAGTTGGACTGATCAGACCTCAGTCGGCCACTCTTATCTCAAACACCAAGACCTCTGTCAGTCCCTATGCTCAGCCAGGTGTGTATTGGATCCCAGAGCTACAGGCCCACACACAGCGGCTCGGCAAAAGGGGAGGGCCAAGACGAGTCATGGCCCGAAGGGGGCCAGGTGAGGGTTATGGCTACACTCGTGAGGTCCTCTCGGCGGTCCGGGCTGAGTGCGTGATCACATGTGCACGAAGGAAGCTAAGTGGAGGCAGGGCAGAAAAGCAGTGAACCGCAAGCAGAGCGGGACGTGCGAGGCTATCAAGATGCGGGGAGAAAGGAGCAAGGGAAAGAGGGGGAGCCGGAGCAGCGCGGTGAGTTGACATCAGGGGGAGTTGCAGGAAGGGAGCGTAAGAAAGTAGACAAAAGGGACAAAACGAGGCAAAAATAGTGGCAATTTTGATTTATTCTGTTCCACGGCACCCAGCTTTCTAAGGGGGAGGTAGCGAAGGACTCGCAGAGATGAAAGGATAAGGAGAATCGGTTGGGGGCTGGGGGAGAATGGGGGAAGCAAAGAGGTACGGAGGGAGAGGGGGTTGGGAAGCAAGGGAGAGCAGATGTAAGGGGGAAGGCCCGGAGGGGGAGGATCGGGGGTCGCTCCCGGAGACGTGGCGGAGGATAGTAGGGGGATGGGCGCCAGAAATGAAGAGAGAGACGGCGTCTCCTCCCGTACTAGCCGACAACCAAAGAACTCTAGTCCTTTCTGCCTCCTCAGAATCAACGCCGAGGAAGTCAAATGCGATGAGGACACCGATCTCAAAGGCCTGCAAGACTGACAGTGAGCCAATGCAAACAGCAATACCCCTCCCACACCTACCACAAGACCAACCACCTTCCTGCCACACCAACTAATCATGGACGCAGTCCTACGACAAACTCAACCAATAGCTAACAATACTTCCGACGCAATTCCTTCCGAGTCCGAGAGTCCGACGGGGGTAGTCGCAAGAGCGGAGGCCCGCACGGGGTAAGTCGGTGGGAGTGGAGTAACCCCCAAGTCGCCCCCCGGCCCCCCACATTTTTATCCTATACTGCACTGCCAACAGGTTTCATTTGGGACAGACGCTGTGAAATCACTTTATAACCATTATTATTTTTTTAAACTCAATGTATCGCACATCATGTTTAGCAGTCATATGCATCATCCATCATCCTCCCTGGGTGTAGAGTATTTTCTATTGACAGTCTCTTAGAATCGTTTCGCCCCCCCGCTACGCAAACCTTAGTGGAGTGTGGCGGTGAGGGGAGGAGACTTTGCCTCTCTCTTTGCCTCCAGAATTTCTGTTGGTTGAGATGAGACTCCCACTGGACCTGAGCGATCTCCAGGAGCTCTGTCAGTACAGAATGAGGTTGGTCTACCGGGGCTCACGCACTCACGAGGAGTGTCAGCCTCCGTCCTCGGTGGCAAGTCTGGGTTGACTCCACGTTCATGCTGAGCATACTACTGGCTGCAGATCTCGATGGTGCACCGGGAGGCTTCAACTTGTGAAGCAGTCTGGCCCCCAAACTCATTCTTCTTCCACTTTTCTTGGCCTCACTGTCAGTTACGGCTCCATCATTGAGTGTCTCACCACCAGCCACACTACTACTGTCTTCGGAAACTGTTTGAACCTTTTGAAGGAACCGACCAAGTCGATGCCCGGCCTCACTCTTAGTCCGAGACCTGTGCCTGTTGCTGAAGAGTCGTGCTCCTAAACTCATTCTTCTTCTTCTGGTGTTGGTGTCACTGGTGGCCCCAGCAGTGTCACTGGCAACAGCTCTGCGCAAGAATCGAGCCCCCACACTCATTCTTCTGCGTCTACTGCCACCGTCTGTGGAGCTCTCAGTTGTAAGTAGTGGTCTGCGGAACAACTGAGCACCCATGGTCATCCTTCTCCTGCCGTGAAAGCTACCACCCCTGCCTAGCTCCACCTCTGTTACGTTCTTCCTCAGCCTCGGACCTGCAGGGTTGTCTGTCTGAAAGGACACTCCGTTGGATCTGAGACCAGTCAACAGGTCTACCAAATCGCCCGACTGTTTGTCATTCTCCCCTCCTGGAGACGGTGCTGCTCTGTGGTAGTTTCTGATCCCCAGGCTCAGCCTGCGCCTCACAGCTCCACTTCTCTGCGACGAGCTCTGCGTCCCAGGAGTTGTCTTGAGGAATAGTCTGGCCCCCAGACTCAGTCTCCTCCTGCTCCGATTTCCAGTTAGACTCGCCTGTACTTCTTTAGTTTCTGGGGTGCTCGTCACACTCGAGCTGCTGTAGAAATGACGAGGGTTCAGACTCATTCTTCTTCTGCTTTGTCCAACGTCGTCGGTGGTAGCAGTGGGGTCCATACTATGATCAGTGTTAGTCACTGGTGTGCTGCTGGTGATGAAAATGGTAGGCTGTGGTTGTATAGTGATCTCTGCATAAGGGTTGATATCGTGGTGTTGAATGTTGTCTTCCATTATAGGTGATTCCGGCGGAGCAGTGAAGGGATCTCTAGGACAGGGACAATCTCCAGGCTCTTCTTCTACTGCTGTCAGGTTTGGTTGAGCAGTGGTGGGTAGAATCGAAACTTCAGCATAGGGGGTGACTTTCGGAGGGCTTGTAGTAAGTGTGAGAGATTCTGACTGGGAACTGTTGTGGACATCTGCTCCAACTGAATTAGGGAGGGCAGCAGTCCCGGTGGATGATGTTTCTGCATCAACACTGCTTTCTTGACAAGGAACGGTCGCAGTCAGATCAGGCTGTGCGGTAGATGGGCGAAAAGCAATCTCAGTGTAGCGGTGGATCTCAACTTGACTGAAGCCATCATCTGAGCTAGGCTGTAAGCCAATGCTTTCACTCATTGCTGTACTGGGTTGAGCAGTAGACGTTGGTCCTTGCACACAAACCTTGACACAAACTGCTGAGTGTGTCTTTCTTTGTCGGTGCTAGCTTGCTATGTCCCAAGCAGAGACTATATACAGTCACGTGTTATCAAAATGCACGCTTGGTGTTTACTCTTTGACTATACATACGGGAAAAGAAACTATTATCACTAGTCAGAAAAGGAACACAAACATCAGGAGGGTAAGATACATAATCAACATCTACTAAGAAAGCGTGACTCCATTGGCTCTCAGTCCTGGTGTTCTGAGTCACAGGTCATGACGGAACCAGTGTCTGGGATGAAATCATCTTCTCCCTCCCCATCTTCCCCCTCCCCCTCCTCTTCATCTTCATCCTCCTCTTCTTCCTTGTATCTCAAGTTGTCAGGATTGACCTTTGACATTTGTTCACCAATAACTCCTAATTTCTCTGGAGGCCTTGGCATATACGGCAGTAAAACTTATCATAATCTGGGCTATTTGCTTACCTTTCACTAGTTGGCATAGGGGCCTCCCTTTTGCTGTGCCAAAAGACATTATTTTGCAGTAAGATAGTTGAGTCCAACCTTTTTGGGTGATACGGAGGTTCAAATGCCCACATGTGTCTCTCCTTGGGTGACGCAAAGTAGCTTTTGAGGGCAGGAGACCGAAGACTAAAATATAAGCAACTGTGAAGCAAGGCAAAATTGAAAAGTGTTTCACGAGCTTACTCTCTAAGATTTCCTCGTGGAGGACGGTCATAGAACACCCTGTAGGAAAGACTGTGCAAGGATAATCTGTGTTAGAGTACAATTTGAATATTGCTCACTATTCATCGCTCTTTCTGTCCATCTTACATCCTAGCTCTTCAAAAAACCCGGTAGTTGCTATTATGAAACCGTGGTGTTAGTGTACGTGGCACAGTATGCACGTAAACATTACTACCTTCTCCCCGAACTCTCACATCTCTATTGAACGCTTGTGTCTTAAACAACCTGCAGGAGATGAAGTACAGTATGCAGCTAATATGCACATTGCACACTCCTTAGCTATACCTGCCCAACTCTTTGTGTATGCTGTTCCAGTCCTTGTAGCCAAATGTGATCCACGTCACAAACATCGCAAACTCATAGATAACCTGCGGCCAAAGTTTTAGCACACCTGGAGCAAGACAGAGGTTTTAGCTACCTCGTAGAGGTGTTGGTCTCTGTGAGTTCTTGATGCCCTGAGACTATAGAACAAAATGAACGAAATTTGCTAGAGATCTATGCGAGTTTTATTGAGTCTACATTTTCAGACCAGAGCACAGTTGGTGAGTTATCTATATAGGTGTGGGTTTTATCTTACCTTCCCTTGCAGGTATGGTGGAGACTTGCATGGCTCTGTCCTGTGTTGAGCCTGGAGTACTGCTCTCCGAGGTTAACACTGGCTTGATCCAGCTCCTCCTCTGCCATTCTCAGAGCCTTGCGAGCTTCTTCACCCAGTGCCCTGAAGAAGAAGGTGTTTCTATAGCTGAGATGCACGTATAGCTATCTGAGCCTCACCCTGGTACTTTAATATTTTCATCGCTACTGGCTTCCTCGTGCATGGTAAAGGCATTGTGGTAGAGAAGGACACTCCAGAGAAACTGGTTCATTGCATCAGTTCTGTGGAATTGTCTTGAAAAGAATGGATTTTTTTTATCTTCAAAGAGCTCAGACCTGTAAAACTCGTCGAAAGTGACTACAGTGGACCTTTTCATTTTCTCTAGCAAACCCGTGCTAATGTACCTCACTGCAACAGCTGAGGAAGGTGAGGATGTTAGCTAGCTAGCTTGTCGTCTATCCTCGACTACGTACGTACCTTTGACGTCTTCCAGCGTGACCGTACGCGCTTCATCTGCTTTCCTCATCGCCTCCAGCCGAGGGAAGGACCCTCCATGCAGCGTCGTGCCGTGCAGACTCAAACCTCCGAAGCCCGTAGTACTAGTCGAACCGGATCCGACAGATGAGGCCAGACTGTGTCGCCGTAACCGCCTTCTTGTACTTGTTGCTCTGTTGATATTACCACATAAACTCAGCCCGGAATTCTCTACTTGCTGTATCTACTTTGTCAGTACGAGCGAAGGCTTCTCCGTCCATTCTCCATCTTCTCCCTGCACTCCATCCTCCCACGTCCACCTGGCTCGGTGCTCAGAGGCCTGTAAACACGACGTGGCCATCATCTGCTTGTAAAAAGGGGTGGGGCTGGTTGGTGTAGCGCACACGCGCATGCGCAACCCCCCGCAATTTCGCGGGGGCGTGTCCTGAAATCGCGATGGACGCGTCGACTCCTGGGCGAGCTATTATGAACGAGTTCGTATGGAAGAAGCATGAGTACACCAAGAAGCACAGTCGCCGTCCCGAGGATACCCGCTATGTGATGGTTATATATTCGGGGGGCACCCTCGGAATGAAGTATGCCCCAGACCAAGGTGATGTTTCCACCGCATTTAGCACGAATTCACGTGCGTGTTTTGCAACACTAGGCTATATCCCGGTGGCCCAGTACCTGGAGAAAAAGATGAGGACCTACCCAATGTTCCACGACCTGGACTATCCCATTTCACAGGATACCGTTGCAGCATTTAGCCCTAACACTCCAATGGCATTACCGTAAGTCACACGTCATCACGAGTTTGTAGCCATCACGAAAATTACCCACTTTTCACACTAGAGCTACCTATCACAAGTATCGCATACTCTACTGCATTAATGAGTACGACCCTCTAATGGACTCGTGTAATATGAACATGGATGACTGGGCAAAGCTGGCCAGAGACATAGAGAAGCACTACGAGCAGTTTGATGGATTTGTGATACTCCACGGGACAGACACCATGTGCTACACTGCCTCGGCTCTCTCCTTCATGTTGGAGAATCTCGGGAAACCTGTCATCCTCACTGGAGCTCAGGTAGCTATAATATAGCTTGCTGTGCAGTACTGCATCATTCAGCTACATTGTAGAAGCATTTCAGTTGAATAAAAATCTTTATGGATCACTGCAGTAGCTATGCATGTATGAATCTCTGTATGCATGTTGTGTAGGTACCACTCTCTGAATTGAGAAGTGATGCGAGAGACAATCTTTTAGAGGCACTCATTATGGCTGGCTCTGGTCACTACGGAATCCCTGAGGTTTGATAATTATACAAACCCTCCAATCATTCCCTTGATGATTGGGGGTCCCTCTCATTATCGTAGGTAACGCTCTACTTCAACAACAAGCTCCTGAGAGGTAACAGAAGCATCAAGGTGAACTCTTCCAGCTTTGATGCCTTTGACTCACCCAATATCGCACCGCTTGTGTCCGTGGGAGTGGAAGTCACAAGTAAGTGAGCACCCATGTGTGGGTTGATTATATACAAATGTCCTTGATTGAAACTATGATGAGACTTCTTCATATTGGCTCAGTTCAGAGAGGAATAATCCTGGAAAGAGACTCCAAGCTTCAGCTGGTGGTCCACACGACCATGTGTTGCGACGTGGGCATACTCCGTGTTTTTCCAGGGATCACAGCCACCACAGTAAGGCTAATACACTCATACATGGCTTGTGAGTACTAGTTGATCCCCACAGATACGGGCATTTCTCCAGCCGCCGATGAGAGGAGTCGTTCTACAGACATATGGAGCTGGCAACGTCCCCGCTGAGCAGCCCGTACTGCTGGCCCTGAAAGAGGCGTGCGACAGGGGAGTTGTGGTTGTCAACTGCACCCAGTGCATGCAAGGGAACGTTACCACAAATTACCCAGCAGCCAGGGTTAGTACATACATACCTACGTAGTGTTAGAGTGTGATTGGGCTTCTATGTGTAATGGTAGTAAGAATGTTGATTAGCCATAGCCTGAATGTATATACAATACAACACCACTGATGAAAGATCCTATCGCATTCCTGTCTCCTGCACTATATAGGAGTTGTGTGAGCTTGGTGTGGTGTCTGGGGCGGACCTGACTGTGGAGGCAGCTCTCACTAAACTCTCCTTCCTCCTCGGACAGACACACCTCAGCGTCCACAACGCCAGAAAGGTATGATACGTGCATGCTTAGTCTTAAACGACCAAGTAATCTATCTTCCTTGGGCAGTTGATGGCTAGAAATTTGTGTGGAGAGTTGACTCCTCTTACGTCGGCTTTATAGCTGAACAGTGCTCCCACCAGTTAATTTATGCAGCAAAGCAGTTCTGATGAACCTACTTCAAAATTGTTATGACCGTGACATTACTACATCATCTTTTCAAATTGATATATATATAATATAGCCAGCATTACCGTGATCAATATATTATATCTCACTATCAGTTTTTGTCAGCTCTGGTGATTTGTTGTAATTGCATTAGACTGTTCCCCATCAGGGTGTAGACCATTGGATGCAGTACCTTTAGAACAGCTTTCAACAGTACCTTTAGAATACACAGCGGCAGTCAAAGTGCAGCTTTCAACAGTCATTTCTCCTCGTAAGTCCTCCTCCATTCTCTAAACACCAATAAACACTAAGTATAATATAGTGCACCTCAAGCAATTGTCGTTACCTTTCTGACGTCGTGGACACTGAGGTGTGTCTGTCCGAGGAGGAAGGAGAGTTTAGTGAGAGCTGCCTCCACAGTCAGGTCCGCCCCAGACACCACACCAAGCTCACACAACTCCTGCAAACAACACTGAAAAAACCTTTCGAAGAAGAAGAAGAAGAGGCAGGCACACCTCTGACGCAGTGTGTGTGGTCCCATGAGGACATTGGGAGCAGTTTACCACCACCACTCCCCTCCCACAGGCTTGTGCGACCTTGTCCAACAGAGGCCGCTGCGTGGGAAAGTGTCCTGCTCCGTATGTCTGTAGAACAGCTCCTTTCAGTGGAGGCTGCAGAAATGTCTCTACCTGCACGTTTCACAAAAAAGTATTAGTAGGTGTTTAGAGGGAAAATTGATGAACACTTTATTAAGGGTTTTGTTGTACCTACCAGTTGCGGAGTCATCCCAGGAAATAGAGTAAGTGTCCCCACGTCAGGACACATTGCTGAATGAGCCTTAAATTTGAGGTCTCGGCATCTTGCATGGTGACCAGCAACTGTTGGGTATACAGTATATAGATTAGCATGATCATCTACAAGCCAACTGTCCAGAGGTCTAATACACTCTAGACTGTGACTAATACAAGTTGCAGAGGGATCTGGTAGACAGTATATAGATTAGCATGATCATCTACAAGCCAACTGTCCAGAGGTCTAATACACTCTAGACTGTGACTAATACAAGTTGCAGAGGGATCTGGTAGACAGTATATAGATTAGCATGATCATCTACAAGCCAACTGTCCAGAGGTCTAATACACTCTAGACTGTGACTAATACAAGTTGCAGGGCTCTGGTATACAGTATATAGATTAGCATGATCATCTACAAGCCAACTGTCCAGAGGTCTAATACACTCTAGACTGTGACTAATACAAGTTGCAGAGGGATCTGGTAGACAGTATATAGATTGGCATGATCATCTACAAGCCAACTGTCCAGAGGTCTAATACACTCTAGACTGTGACTAATACAAGTTGCAGAGGGATCTGGTATACAGTATATAGATTAGCATGATCATCTACAAGCCAACTGTCCAGAGGTCTAATACACTCTAGACTGTGACTAATACAAGTTGCAGAGGGATCTGGTAGACAGTATAATAACTAACTTGAGACGTTCATGCCGAGAGTGGCAAGAGTTGGGAGGTTGGGAGAGGAATAAGGGGAGAAGGAGGTGGCACTTGTCTTTGAGGTCCTGTTGCCACGAAGCAGTTGATGACCAAAGTAAATGCATACCTGGAGGGTTGCACGGAATGGTAGTCAATCATGGGCAGAGGGTTAATCAAACCTCCGGGATATGTGCATATCCAGAACCAGCCATTAGAAGAGCCCCCAGCATGTTTCCATGGGCATCACTTCTTGTTTCAGACAGTGGCAGCTGAGGTTGTCAAAGATCTGTGTGCAATAATGACCTAGCTAGTAGCTACCTGAGCTCCAGTGAGGATGACAGGTTTCCCGAGATTCTCCAACATGAAGGAGAGAGCCGAGGCAGTGTAGCACATGGTGTCTGTCCCGTGGAGTATCACAAATCCATCAAACTGCTCGTAGTGCTTCTCTATGTCTCTGGCCAGCTTTGCCCAGTCATCCATGTTCATATTACACGAGTCCATTAGAGGGTCGTACTCAGTGATGCAATATAAGACACGATGCTTGGAGTCCCTGACAAACCTGAGTGGTAAGAAAAACAAGAATCCCACGTGGAATTGAGGTGTTTTGCAACTTACGGGAGTGGGATGGGCTGAAAGGGCTCAAAGCAATGTTTATCATCTGTAGTAATGCAGTAGTCTTTGTCGTATAGGGTGGGGTAGGTCTTGATCTTGGTCTGCAGAGAGCCGAGGGTATGCCAATCATATCCTGGGTGGAAAAGTAAACACGCAAGCCTGGTGTGTAATGTACACGCATGCGCGTATATCATCAAAGTGAGTCCAGCCTGCGGTAGCTGCGAGTGCATTGTTAGTTTCACACACACAGGAACAAAAACTACTTCTCGATCAACTTGCCTCTTTTCTCGTCATTCCACACCATCCCGAACGTGCCTCCGCTGTAGATCACCAGCACTTTCGCCACCATGCTTGCAAATTGCATGCACACACAACAGCGCTGCGCGCTTAAGCGTGCTGCAAGGTAATTATATTGCGCAGGCTCAGCAGAAACTCCGCAGTTCGCCCTCTCGGTCGGTCTATCTCTACCGCATTTCTGCAGCAAAACCTCCACAAGATGAAGGTATATCCATAATGCTGCATTCAGCAACCCATATAATTTTTTACCTTGCGTCATTTACAGGTATTTGCAGCTCTTCTTTTCGGTGAGTTAGAACCTATACCAGTAGCTAGGCAACTTCAGTCTGGTTTTACGGAGCTCACAAATGGTGCGTTTTTTTATCGCAGTCGGCTCGCTGTCGGTGGTTGCGCAAGCCGAGCTACCGCAAGGCACGGAATATTTCGGAGCCTTTTTCTGTCCTCCAGCTCCTGAGGACTCGGACGTGGCAGAATGCTCCGCACCCTGCGGTGGATCAGATGAGTGTGCTGGAGACGGCATGCTCTGCTGTCCACTCACCCAAGACTGCCGGATTTGCCGTCAAGGGATCCCCAGTAATGACGGAGCGCTAGTGTGTCGCACTGAGGATGAAGAGGAGGTCGCTCCACTAACTATCACTCTGGACGAAGCGGAGTGTGAATACTGGTGGGTGGCTGTGTGCTATAAAGTTGATACACACAATAATTATGTAATATGTAACAATGCCTGAATTTTTTACACTCCCTGGGGAGGTATATTATAGTGTTTGATATCATTACGCCCGTGTAGTGTGTGTGTCAACGGCATGTTCTACTGCAATGAACTGGAGGAACTGGAGGATGGAACATGTCCAGATCTGCCTCCGCCTACCGAGGGGGCCGTTTGCAGCTATGAGGAGAGGGAGGTTCCACCTACGGAATTCACTGTCATTAGATCTGAAGAAGACTGTGACATCTGGTCAGTCGTGGCTGTTCCATTGTTCTCCTCCCCTTCTCTCCTAGCATCACTCTTGTTTTACTGTCTCTGTCCTTTCACTGCAGCATCTGTGGGAATGGAGTTCTCTTCTGCAGAAGCTGTGAACCAGGTCACCTGATTAATTAATTAGTAGTGTTTGCATACAAAAGTTAGCTATGGTGTTTTGTTGAGAATGCTGAAAGCCAATGCAGTGATCTAGCTTAGTTTACAATACAATCACCATAACCAGTGCAGTGTCTTGCAATATCCCCAGTTGACTTTCCTGGAAATGCATGTTGCAACAACCTATTATTGAGCAAAGTGTTGCTCTGAACTTTGTGTACACCATTGTTCATTGTCTGATCTGTTTGTCTCTAGATGTAACATGTGAGTATGGGGGACACAGACTGAGACTTGGAGAAACTGTATTCTCTAATGGTGACTGCAGTCTCTGGTAAGACATGCAAATGTATAATTATTACGACAAGTGAAGTATTACTCCATTTCTCTCTATAGCACCTGCATGGAGAGTGGAGAAGTTGAATGTGCAACGCAGGATGACTGCAGTAAGTCCGATGCATGCATGGCCTGTGGACATAAGACCATGAGGGACAATAATACCTTGTTTCTGCTCAGCTCCAATGTGTATGTACCGCGGCGAGGAGGTGGCAGTTGGAGATACGGTACCGTCTGAGGACGGCTGCAATGAATGGTATCGTATTCCATGTTAGTCTACTGCAGGTGGCATAGTTTCGTTGTTTTTTCCCCCAGTACTTGTTTGGATGATTCCACACTGTCTTGCACTGAAAGAGCATGCGGTAAGTGAAAATTTCTCCTCGGTTATGTGTGTGCTCATTCCCTTACCTTGGCTATGGCAACAACTAGAAAGGTCTTCTCTCTAAGCAGATGTAGCTAGTTTACTTGGTAAAATATTCATAGAAACAGCGCAGCATGCTTTTTGCCCCCCAGCAACGCCCCTTAGGGTCACTCTTGACTGGCACTAAAGGTAGAAACAAGCTGATGTAACTGGTACACAGATGAATAAGGCATGTGTCTTATATTCATAATCACATGGGGAATAAAGACAGATGGTTGCGGTTGGCTCACCTCCTGTTTACGCAGCTACCATTGTTCAGTTGTTACGTGGTTAAACACAACACATCTAGCAAACATTTAGAGGTGTTTTGGCAGGTTTTGGTCATAAACATTTTGTAGTAAAGATCTAGATGTACAAGGTTGTACATTGCAACACAAAACTGGGTTAGCATGCTGGGTATAAAGTAGTTATAGACATTCTATCGAGAAACAAGGGAAGTCACCGAGTTTAGTGCATGTGTCTGCAATGTTATGCACTTCTAGAATTCCAGCCACTCTATAAACTAACCAGCTCATGAGTACCATATAGACACTTCTTTCTTTACTTCAGTCCCTCCTTTCCCCCCTACCCCTCTCCTTGTCACCCATGGTGCAGAGTGCGAGAATGGAGAGGGCGAGTCCGTTGCTCCCAGAGTCCGTGTGCTAATGCCAGGTGTTTTGCCCATCAAAACGCTACCTGCTACAACGACTACTGCGGTGGATGCAACACTCGCTGGATGCTGGATGGAGAAGATGTGACTGAGACATGCAGTGAGTTCTCCCAGCTCAGTACACTCACACATACAGTGTTTCCCTCACATTAATAGTTGAACAATGTTTGCATGCTCTTTAATGCGTTATAGTAGTGACTTTTTCCCCCACTGCAGTGGGGGAGGAAACTAGTGAACCCGAGCTCACCCACATCCCAACATGTCCTGCTGACGCATTGGATACCTGCGACGAGCAGTGCTCTGACCATGATTCTGCCCCGACACGCAGCTCTGCTGTCGAGGCTGCGGCTCTTCCTGCCAAGTCCCATCAACCTGCCCAGTTACAGTGTCCCCCTCATGTGCCCACGTCAGACCGTGGTACTCGACGAAGACAGCCTCACCTGTGACATCCAGTGCCAGTACAACGACCAGTGCCCCGGGGAGAAAATCTGCTGCTACAGTGGATGCTCCTCCTCCTGCCAGTACGGCGTGCCCCCTCCCAATTCCTGCACCGTCGTCCGACGGCTTCTGGAAGACGACAGAGATGAACCAACTTCTGATGAAGACGAGCCTCCACTGGGCGAGTTTTTGCCAGGCTGCCATAGGGAAGGGTTCTTCAACCCAGTCCAGGTCTCCGAAGCAAACAGGTGGTGTGTGAATGTGGTTACTGGCGAGCCCATTGGATCTGCCTACACTGCCAGTGATGGCCTCACCCTCACCTGTCCCAGTACGTGTCCAAGTGCTTATTGTCTCTTTGTTGCTTCTCTCCAAACCAGTGTGTAATATTTTTCTCTATACAATCTTCAGATTGTACCCACAATGGCCGAGTGTTCTATGTTGGACAATCTTTCAACGATGAGTGCAATGACTGGTGTGTTACACCCACCACAGGATTGCAATGTTACAGTCAATATTTTTCTTCCCACATGTCACACCACCAACAGCGTATGTACGGAGACGGGTGTGGCAGTTTGCACACGTCGAGCCTGTTTGGATCCCTGCGTCCTACCAGCGTCACCTGGAACATGTGAAGACAGGCAGAACCGCTACTTTTTCGACAGAGACTCGCGGTTCTGCCAGAAGTTTGTCTACAGCGGCTGTGGAGGCAACGCCAACAGATTCTCATCTGTTTACAACTGTCTTCATGCATGCGACTCTGAGAGTCAGTACAAAACTACATTACACCCCTGTGTGCATTATGATACTGTTTCCATAGGTGTGTGTCTGTTGGACTGGGACGAGGGAGAACGCTGCAATGATGAAGAGGACAGTGCTAATCCCACAAGAGATTTGTTCTATTACTATAATGCAGAGGAAGGTGCATGCAGCTCAACGGTTGGATACAGATGTGGCGGCAATGGAAATAGGTTTCACAGCGGCATTGACTGCTTGCGGACTTGTGACCCATCCAGTAAGTAACCGTGGAAGGAATGAAGTTTACGGTGGTACGGGGGAAGCACCATAATTATTATTATTAAACTGATACCCCTGTACAGATCCTGGGCCTACAGATGTCCATGGAAACTCTTGTTGGGTGAGGTCATAGCTGAGATCACATGATCGTCATGTGACACTGTGTCTTTGATGTCTGCAGGAGATTGCGTGTGACACCCCTTTCTGTGGAGAGGGGGTTCAGCCTGTCGCTAGTGACGATTTCTGCTGTCCTGTCTGCCCCTATGGTATGACAGGGTTCTCAATTTGAAACAAAGGGACTGAGAAATGATGGGTGATTGGGATCCAATTCTGTTTCTGTGATATAGAACAAGAGTGTGAGGATGACGAGTTCCGGTGTTTGGACGGCTCTTGCATCCGAGCCAGGCTGGAGTGTGATGGGCTGAGTGACTGTGATGATGGTTCTGATGAGATAGATGATGGGTGTTCCCCCTTCATCAGTAAGTCTTCTTTACCTCATCAGTATGTTGCCAGAGTGTGTCAGACATGCTTCACTTTTAGCTGTGCAACAAATGCTGTGTGTTATTATAATGGTTCATTGCAGTTGCTTGTGAGTTCCGGTGCTCTGATGAGCAGTGCGTGCCTGAAGACTATGTCTGTAATGGAGTGTTGGAGTGTGACAATGGACGTGATGAGGTTGATTGTGATGTTGAAGGTATGTAATGAATCCTCTTTCTTTTCATTTCATCAGGCATTTTCAATAGTTCCGCAGGCTCCTTCTTACACATTATTTGAGTGCCCTGAGTCTAGAGACTTGCTCGGAGACTGTGACGAGAGCGAGTGTATGGTCAACACAGAGTGTCGGGAAGGCAAGATGTGCTGCCTCAATAACTGCAACCAGCGTTCCTGCACAGAGCCACACACATCTGATATCGCTGGCTGCAGAGCCATCGCTCAGTATCTCAGTACCAGCAACGCCAGCTACATTCCCCAGTGTGACTCAGTCGGACAGTTCACACCGCTCCAGTGTACTGGGGAGGGAGAGAATAAGTTGTGCTGGTGTGTCAACATCATCACTGGCAATCCTTTCACCGAGCTAAGCAGTGACGACGATATTGACTGTCGACGTATGTCATGTTGTGAAATTATCCCACTGCCTGATTCTCTTTTGCTTTCTCATTAGCTACCTCCCAATTTCCAACATTGTTACTATTTTGTGCAGACCGTTTGTGACTCTCTCTGTTTTTGCTGTGTAGGTTGTGACTACAGTCGCTCTAGATATTATCCTGGAGATGTATACACAAAAACAGATGACTGCAACACATGGTGGGTCACATTTTTATTCAGTTTTGCACACTCCTATCCTTTTTCTTCACTGCTAGTGTGTGTGACAGCTCAGGGGAATCAATATGTGGCCGCAGAGCCTGTACGGAAGGTTTGTATAAACCGGCAGTTTAATGCATACTCTAAAGCCGCCATTCTCTGCAGAAAGTTGTGAGGTTCATGAGGTCACTATTGACCATGGTGAGACAAAGGAATTTGACTGCGTAATATGGTGAGCAACTCCACCCACAATAGAGAGCAATGCCAGCTGTTCTTTGGTCCATATTGCAGCACTTGTTTGTATGGGCTCAACTGCACCAGAAAGGATTGCTCGGGCATCGGAGTTGTACGGGAAACGTGAGTTTTGCTGTGTGCCCCATGTGTGCAGTGTCTGTATTTGTCTCTATGCTAAAGTGTGCAAGTGGAGATGACGTTTAGCGGAGAGCTTCCATCCAGTGAGGAAGAGCAAGAAGAAGTAGAACGGTGGGCAGCCTATAGTGTATCTATTTTGTACTCTTCCTTCTTTTCTGCACAGTGGTGTAGTAAGGTCAATACTGGGAATGTATGGAGAGTCTATGGACCTTGATGAGAGCCAGGTGGAGATAGATGAGGTATAATAGCTGTACTACCTCAATGGATATTGAAATATTTATTGGGTTTATTTACAGCTCCGCCAGGGTAGTATAATTGTGGTGGTGGAGTTCAAAGACACAGAAAGACGACACTGGAGCCAATGTCACTATCCTTGTGGTCCAACTGGAGAAAGATGTATGTGTGTGGTGCAGTGTTACACAACTAAAGCAGGGACTCATTCTCCACCTTAACTTAAAAGCTACATAGACCAAGGGTTGAAGCGGTTTTATTGCCCGTATTTCCTCCCTCTCTGTCTGCAGTATGAAGATGGGGTCCTGGTGATCAGAAATGGTAACAAGGCTTATGTGCCAGCTGGGCAGTTCAGTGCAGAGACTGTCAGTCAGGAAGACGATGATGAGGACGAACATGAGTTGTTTTGGTGGCACTGGCTCCTCATCGGACTGGCCGGCGCAGTTCTTGTT